TCTCCGTCACGATTGGATGCGCTGACTGGATCATATGATCGGACAAACCGTCGTCGTATTCGAATTTACCGATCGTTTCAAGCGTCTCATGGTCGACCAAAATCGATCCTTTTTGAGTCTCCGTGAGACACATGACCCGCCCGTCACCGAGTCGGATCACTCCGGTGTTGGCGTTATCCGTTAAAGACTCACCGGAGAAAAGCCTCACGATCTCTCCGAGCCCGGAGAAAGGGTTCTTGAAGCTGTTTCTGCTCACCGGTTTAGGAGTCTCGGAGAACTCACGGTAACAAATCCGATTGTGTTTCTTGGCGGCTTTGTAGGCGTCGGATTCAAGAAGACGGTGGCCGGCGAATATACGACCGCCGTCGAATTGGAGCTTGACGAGTGTGGAGTAGCCGTCGAAGAGATGACGGAAATCGTGGTCTCCGACGTTCCATAGACCGGGACCGTTTCTAAGGTACGTACCATTCTGCATGTCATCTTCAATTCATTAGTTTTACATCTCATCATGTTGTTAATTTATCATTACTAAAATAAAATAAAATAAATGAGAGTATATATGAAAAATACATTATGTCAAATTACTCACGCATATATTATAAACATATATATAATGTGAAAATATATTATAATTTTTTTGCTAAGTATTTGCAATAGTCTAAAACTTGAAAATATGATATAACATATATAACCTGGATAAGAAAAAAAGAGTTCAATACAAAATAGAAAAAATATAGACGAGCATCGATATTTTGTACAAAAGTGGTTTTGTCTGGAATTAATTGTAGTCATATGCATGTGCAAGCGTGAGTGTGTTTTGTGTGCACGATACATATTTGTATGAAAGTCCACGAAAATAGCTAAAAGATGTAGTCCCAGCAAAAATATAGGAAAATGGTGTAAAAAGACAAACCAGCCAAGTGGGTATCTTTCCTTGGACAGTAAGCTCACCCTCCCACTTCTCTTGTTGTACACTTGTCCACGCAACATGACATCGTTTCTCACCTTCCACCTTTTCTATCTCCGGTAACGCCGGTGATGAATTGATTACAGCTCTGGTTGCACCGGAGATCCTCCGAGCAATTAATCGGTGAGAGACTTTGTATTTTGTTTTTATTTGTTGACTATCGTTGATGGAATTGTCGGGATAAAGAGTGGTGATTCGAGTTGACGACAAAACATGATGATGGCTCATCATTGCTTTGGTTGTGATCAAAGAAGCCATCTTGGCAGAGCTTTTTTATTTAATAAATGTTTGTAGTGGATTTCAGTGTACTGGAAAGAGGGCTCAAAGATTATAATAAATTCAAGAATGGAAATGGAATTTTAGTGAATGTTGTGGTGCAACACATATGATGTATTTATAGGGTCTCGCTTAAAGGGATCTTGTTACAAATGATGGATGCTTATTCAAGTTGATATAATATATTAATTTTTGATGGGGTTTGTAGGATGACATATATACTACACTTTAATTATAATAGCTATAGATGGTACTATCAATATTTTTGGTCATGTTGGTTTTGCAATTACTAGTGGTAGTGACGCCATAACCAAATCTTGTTTGCTAACATCTCATATTTGCAAATCCTCATGTCTTAAAATCTCTGTGATTGATATTTCCTATATATATATGATGAAGAGATGAATTATTCAATTATTTTAGTACTCGATCGTATATATGTCTTCAGATTTCAGGGACGATAGACACATTCAATGATTCAAATCAGCCTGATGAGAGGCATATATATAATATATTCCTCAAAGCGGTCAGCTAATACATATGATATACGTTCGCTTATAATTGGTAAGTTGGAGCTTTTTATTCAACGATGAGTAAATTACCTTAACAACGAATCGAAAACACACTGTATGTATGAGTGTCAACAATACTCGACCACTACCGAAATTAGATAAACGTGTCAATCTGTCAATAAGTAAGAATTTACATTTTGTCAACGCGTAAAATGAATATGAATATATGATTGATATAGTGTATATATGGGTACTGTATTTTATATTTAACAATTCTTTCCGTCCGATCATCCGATATTCCGATTCATTGTTGAATGTAATTTTTAAGGTTAATCAATATGTGTGATGATGAATTATATTGTACGTTTATATGGGCCACGCAAAGTGATCAGTATATATATATATATATATATTTAAACGTTTTGGGAAATCGTATGCTTAATTCCTGAATTAACGCAAAAAGTTAATCAACATAACTAGGGAAAAACTATATTCACACCTTGAATATGATACAAATTTCTCTTTTCATCTCTAAAATTACTGGAACTTTTATTTCCCGTAATTTATGTATTTTAAATAGTTTGGCCGATGGCTTTGTTTTGTTCGAAGTGTTCGTACATGTTTCATTTATATTAACTTCCTATGTTTTGGGCAAGAGAGATACATATATATTATATATATGATTGGTGGAGTATAGCTGAATAGTGTGACTGACAGGGAATGCTTCGAAATGAACATATAATACGCCATTGAAAACGATAAATAGTTTAAGAAAATAGAACCAGCGTATATAGGCCACTTCGTGACAAGAGTTTGGTTCAAGTGGGTTTCTAATATACAGTCAGAGACCTTTTACTCAGAAGAAACAAATAATGATAGAGACCACATTATTTGACTTCTCTTGTAATTTTGTGTGGGATTTTGTAAGTTCAAACAAAAGAGTCACCTTTGATTCAGCTATTTGAAAGATCGATATGTGAGGGTTATTCGAAACGTTGTTTGGTACACGCAACGTTAATTTACATATACAAACGTATAAACAATAATAGAATATAATGTTTGTGTGAAACATGTATGTCATTTATCAAAATTTATAATAGTTCATCTAAAATTATGACTATATATTATCGTGAGTATTCATCATCAGTACGTCAGATTGTTAATGTATAAACATACACTTATTTGTTTGACATCAAAAAGAAAGAATTTTTTATATATACTAGTACTGGTTTGAGTAACATTTCCTAGTCCATATACCCAATTAGGAAAATGGAAAAAGTTGAAAAGGGAAAATGGAAAGAATCCAATCTATCATATTAGTTTACCATATTAGAATTTTAATATTATATATATAGTACAAACTCCATGACAACTAATATATATATATATATAAATTACTGCGATTTGGGTCCAGATGTTTGCCACATTTGTTTGTCTCATCTGTTACGTGTTTCTAGTCTTGAGAATAATCACTTCTTTTGATCATTATCGGTACGTTATTTCCCTTTCTTCATTAAAATGATAGTGAATTTCCATTTTTTGTTTTAAGTTTCTAGGTGAAAACATGTTCATAGGATAGATATGTCAACTCGGCACCTTAGAACCACCTCCATCGCAAAATTAAATTATAAATCAGAGTATAACTGATGTAGATGTTCTTATAATTAGCAGTTTTACTATTAACTAGATTCTTTCACCAACAATTAATAAAAAAATATTATACTTTTAAGTAGTATTGAATTGAAGATGCGTATGATTCTATATGTAGTTATAGAGAGGTATATATTCATTTAGACATCAAAGAAAACATTTAAATACATGTACAAATACTTTGTTTTCAGTTCGCAGATCACGAGAGCGAAAGATACAAGCTAAACAGAAATGTAAACAAGTTTGGCACAAACAATATTTAGGCCATCATTATTGATGATCTCAGTTCTAGCCTTGTCTACATATAATTAACATTGTCTACATATAATTAACATTGTCCATCACTACTTGTGGGATCTTTTGAAACAATGTTAAATCGGGTTAATCCAGCACATAGATTGACAAGATATTCATAGTCGAGTTTTAATGTTTATATTGCCGATGCAATGTGATAGAACCCATGAGTCAGAGTCACTAGCTATGTCGAGTATGTTTTAGTCATCTACGAAGATAACAAAGAAATAGGAAATGCATCTTCTCTTTTAGTGGGAAAATATCAAGATTTTCAAATTCAACTCTCATATATATATATATATATATATATATATATATATATATATATATATCTTGTTTGGTCCAATGCTACCTTTAATGATTGGAAATCTAGAAAACCTCTGAAATACAAAATTTGTCCATGAGCCACTAAACCCTAATAAAGATGCCATCACTAAAGCGTCATGGTGCATGAGATGAGTTGCATCTTTAGAACTCGTTGTAATGTTTGTGTATTCAACGCCCTTATTTTTAATTGCTTAATGTCCCTTCATGCCCGAATTGATTCCTACAATGTATAACATTAATTTATTGGTTTTTGCTCACTTGTGGCAGACAAAATCAGGGTTTCCCCACAAAGAAAGCTCCATATTTAAATTATTTTATATAGTTATTATTGCCCTCTTCTTAATTAAAGTAAATTCTGTTAATTGTGATAAACGTTCCAATTAGTTTAACTTTTGCAATTTAACCCAAAAAAAATCAGCATATCAAGATCATATTTCAGAGACTAATCCAGACTTTGACTTACAATCCTTATATATTTATTAAAATCAATGACGGCAAAGCGAGTTTCAAAAACGAATAGAGTTTAATTTGACAGGGAGATTGGTTAGATAAATCAAAAGATACAACAGCTCTTTTAACAAACTCACAGTCATATGATAAACTTTATCGAGTCGAGGATTAAAAGAGTCTAGAATAATATTTTCGTGTTTTCATGAAATTTGAAATTAACTAGTTTGTTGTACAGAGTTAAACACACTCATTCATTCCCACATATTAGTATTATTCAATAAATATGACGATGACTTTATTAGTGGGCAAATTTTTATTTAATATATATATATATATATTTTTTAAATACTTTTAACAAATTTGTCGGTACGTGAAACTAGAACAGTCAAAAGTAAAAATAAAAGAGAAAATTACAAGAAAAAACCTTTTTTTTCACAAACTTTGTGAAAGACAGACTTTTCGTCCATGCCTATAGAATTAAGCATTTGTTTTGCCATTGAATGTCGAATCTGCCCCTCAACACAGTTACTTCGTTTTTCTCCGTTTTCAATTTTCGCTCACGCGCTACCTGTGAGATTGTTTCTTAATTTTGCCTCTCTAAACTAGTTTTTCTCGTCCTTGTCTGAATTTCGTTTATTGCGGTAGCCTGAGATTGGTTTTCTTCGCTAATCGACATCAATCTCCGCCGCCAGGTATCGTCTGCCTTTAATTCTTTCAGTTTTTCTTCGATATTCACTCCACATTCTTTCTTAGTTGAATCGTTGCTTACCAGACCGTTCTGTGCTAGGGATTTTGTCATCATCCGATGCCTTCCTCTTCAAGCCCACTTAAGCATGTCTTCTGGTCAGGTATATAGTTTATTAAGTTTATTTTTTGTTCAGCCCCATAGGTGGAAGTCAATCTCAACTTTTTCCCTCTGTTACCTGTTCCTATCAATTGACTATAGGTTAAAGCTTCAGTTTTGTTAGCTAGTATCGCAGTTAAAATATGTTTTTGGATATGCAATACGTTGTCCTAGGCAGTAATGTTTCCGATTGTTACATGTTGTCTCATGTCTCTTGGTCACTGTCTTCTTTATAGGGTTTACTATCTCTTCTTTGTCTTAACTGGTTTTGTGTTTGAGTTAGAGTGGGTCTAAGCATTCAGTGATCATGTGAGCATTTGACTGTCTTCCTTATAGGTTTATTTTAGCTCCCTTTTCTTAATTGGTTTTGGGTTTCAGTTAGAGTGGGTTTAAGGTTACGATATGATCATGTGGCTGTCTCATTGTCTTCCTTATAGGGTTTATTAGAGATTGCCTTCAATCCTGTACTGTGGTGGTTTAAGTGTCTTGGTTACTGTCTTGTATATAGGGTTTATTATATATGCCTTCTGTTAACTGGTTGTGTGTTTGAGTTAGAGTATCATGTGTCTCCTCTCTGTCTTCCTTATACAGTTTATTACAGATTCCTTTTCGGAATTGGTTTATTGTTTGAGTTAGAGTGGGTCTAAGGCAGCAGTCCTAATGTGGCTTTCTCATTGTCTTCTTTATAGGGTTTATTGTATCTTCCTTTTGTTAAGTTGTTTTCTGTTTCAATGGGACGTCGTGTAACGAAGTAATGAACATATGCGGTTTATTTCATTTTCCTTCTGTTATTTCGTTTTGTGTTTGAGTGTGCCGTCGTGTGACGCAGTACTGCTGAAGTTTCTTTCTTAGTGCCATCCTTATAGGGTTTATTAGACATTGCAATCAGCTTTGTAATGTTTTTTTCTCTCACTGTGAAATTTCATTTTCTTTGATGTAGGTGATCTGCCTGAAACGCTTTTCGATGGTAATCGATACCCTAGTCATCCTGTTCGTATCAATTCTTACTCAAGACCACGCTACCTTATTGACATTTTAAATATCTTGAATGGTATGTCTGAGCTAGATGTGTTATTGGCATCACCTCTCGGTGCTCTTTTCTCTTTGCCTGTTCGCCAATGTGCAATGTCTGGTCAGCTAGTCCACCAGATGTTATGTCGGCAGCTTCATACTGATAATAGTGATGAAACTTGGTTTCTTTTTGCGGGCCAACCAATCCGTTTCTCTCTCATGGAGTTTGAACAAATTACTGGTTTGTGTTGTGCGCCTTTCCCGGCTGCTTCAGATCTTGAACCTGTAACAACTCATTCTGAAGGTTCTGCTCCATACTGGTATACATTGATTGGTCGTAAGCTTGGTGGTGCAACTGTTGAAGATCTTCTTTCTTTGCTGAAGTCTGATGCGAACATGCCTGCGTGGAGAAAGTTTAGGCTTGCATTAATTGTTATTGTTGAAGGAATTTTACTGTGCAGAAAGTTTAGGCTTGCATTAATTTCGTGTAGTGATCGGCGAACGGATTTGAAGGAGCGTCCATCCCGCCCTTGTCCGCTTAAGGCTAGGATTGAAATTTCACACGTTTAAAAATTCCCTTTCCTATAAGCATTGATAGAAAGGCTGGATCAAACAAATTTCTGGGGAAAAAGACTCTTTTTAACAATAACCCCAAAATAAAATAAATTGACAGCACTAACTTTATCAGCTAGGGTTTGTCTTTCTTAATTTATGGGATACTAGTATAATAGTCATAGAGTTAAATTTTAAACATTTTTAAAAATTGGGTGTTAGGTGAATGTCGTAGGAAGTTGAAAGTTGTATTTCTGCTGGAAGTTCTCTAATTATTATTCGCAAGACTCTAAAAAATGGATATTTGTTAAAGATAATATCTAAATTGATTAATTTTGTATGATGTTTCATTGATTAATCTCAAATTACCATATTCGTTCTCGAAAGAACTCAATCTCAAACGCAAATCCGCTAGCAAACTCCTTACAACTTTACGTGAATAAATTTTTTTATTATTAAGATTCCAAAACTCGAAAAATAAAACAGAGTCCACCAATCCGTTCGCCGATCACTACACGAAAACAAGCTAGGGATCCTCCTACTGAATATAACAAGTAAAACTCATGTATTGTGTTAAAGGTTGATGAGAGAAGAACACACTAGTGATTAGAAAATATTATATTGACTCTCATAAATATGATGTTACAATATACAAGCATATATATAGGAATAACATTTAGCGTAGTTTCCTAATTAAAGAGATTATATAGAATATTTACAAATCATTAATATGATTGTGTAAGATATTTACATATCTTCTAGATATCCTCTTATACGCCCCCTCAATCTCAAGGGGATAATGAACAAACAACGAAATTAGTGGCTTGAGATTGATTTTGATTATTATTAGTCATGTGTACACTTTGAAGAAGCTAAGAAGCGTTGCTCGTGGGAGATATTGTTGTTAACGATGATGATAAGCTAAGACCAATAGAGCTACTGATGACCACCGCAGCGATTGACATGATAGATCTGATGAAGATGCTGATCAAGGTGGTGTGGATGACTGGACGGCATGATTAGTGATCAACCTTTGTCTTAGAAAGAACAAGAAACCGATGTTTTTTTTAAAAATAATAAATCAAGCATTATTGAAAGAAAAATATTAAGAAGCTTACTTAAGGAAAAAAAAAATGTGAATAACCAGATTTTTTTTTTTAAGATGTGAAAAACTAAAAAATGAAAAAAAAGAAAAAAAAAACAAAACAAAACAAAATTAGATAGAAGCATTTTAGCTTGATTTTAAAAGTCGTGAATAATTTTTTTTTTCCTTTTTTTTTTTAATAAAAAAAGTTAGAATAAGCTCTTTTGGCTTAGATTCAGAGGTTTATAATGATAGACTTGAATCAAGAGAAACACAATGGATTAGATCGAGAGGTTCATGATGAACTTGAATAAAAGAAGCACTTGGCTTAACAAAAATAAAATAAAAGAAAACGAGTTTGATGAACTTGAATAGAAGAAGCACTTGGCTTAACAAAAATAAAATAAAAGAAAACGAGTTTGATTGTTAGATCAAAATTCGGGAGCAAGCCTGCTCTGATATCATGTTAAAGGTTGATGAGAAAAGAACACATTAATGATTAGGAAATATTATATTGACTCTTATAAAGATGATGTTAAAATATACAAGCATATATATAGAAATAACATTTAGCCTAGTTTCCTAACTAAAGAGATTATATAGAATATCTACAAATCATTAATATTATTGTGGAAGATATTTACATATTTTCTAGATATCCTCTTATATATTGTATGTGTGTGACATAAAATATCAATCTCGTTACGGGGCACATGCCAACACCTTTATTTACCTTTATTGGTATAATATAAATTTTTGTTGCTGCGGTCATGTTATACGAATTGTAGAAGAAGCCCAAGCCCATCAGTAATAAACTGTACGGGTTGGTCTGTTATCAAAAACAGAGCCCACCGAAAAACAGAACACATGTTAATTCTTTTGTTTTTTTTTTTGGGTTGGATTCTTCTTTTCCTCAGTGATGTCGAGAGGAAGTGAGAAGTCTGAGATCGGTTGTTGTCTCCAACTTGTATAGCGGATGATGATGCAGAAGGAGTTCTTTCAAGTTAACTTGTATTCACCGCAAGTAAAGAACTCGTAGATAAATGAATATGCTTGAACCATAATCTCGATATATGGTTTAGGTTTAAACTATGAAACCTCCATAATAAGAGTCAAGAGGATTCTCTTTGTTCCCGATCAGTTGTTTTTGTCTCGAGCAATTTCCCTTAAATCCAAACTCTTTGTTGGTCCACTTGGTTCAACGATGTACTAGTATAAACTAAAGGACGAGAGCGTAATAGTCAAGAATTACAGGCAAGCATATCGACCTCAAACATTTTTATATAAGACAGAAACAAAATCGCCGTAACACCAAAAACTATACTAATCTCTTCTGTTATGTGGTTCACTTTGCATGCCGTCAAGTCGTCAACTACTAACTATCCCATGCATTGTTTAAGCTATACTAATCGTCTCTCTTCTTTTCTTCCAAATCTTCTACTAAATCTAACTAAAAAAGAAAAAGAAAATGTGAATAACTTTGTCCACTTTATAAACCCTTTATGATTAATTTATTCACCCAATATTTGTTGATTAAATTTACTTTTTAATAAAGGGTTTTTATAACGTTGACAACATTATTTACTCAACGAAAAAAATTGTGGACTAATTAATTAATGGGATTGATGATATATTGCAATTTGCAAATACAGTACTAAGCGTTATACAGGAGGGCTGCTAGGAGGGATTTTAATAGATCGAAGGTTAACATCGCGTTCATTTGCTTCGAAGGATTTGTTTCTTTAACTATACACCATGAATTAGATCTATGTTAATTTGGATTTATTTTAAGCTCTTCTTATAATACTTACTGCTGGGAGTCTCAACACTAGTCATGTTGCGATACATCAGCGTCTTGTAAAAATATGAATTCACCAAGCAGGCTATATAAACAAAAACAAAAACAAAAACGAAATAGTAACACCGACACAACAGTTGAAATATGGCAAAAAAACTCACTAAATACACATGGAGCCACTACTCTTGTTAGGATTTCGCTATCAATGAATAGGAACATAAAGTAAATGGGATTTTACTTAAAAAGTGTTCCTGGAAAGCAAAAATGCAATAATTCATGCGAAGAGATTTTATGCGTCGATCATAACCCCAAATATGAAAACCCACTTGTGAAATATATGGATTCTAAATTTAAAAGTATATAATGCGTGTATTCCAGCACTTGATTCACAGCTAGTGAATTGTGTTGATATAGACTTGTAAGTAAGCTCTTCTTTCTCTTTTATCATTTCACATATATACTCGTCCATTTGTCAATAGACAAGACTTGCATGTATATATAAGGGACCGTTTTTGATATTTTTGGACGGTGCATTTAAGTGTTTGTATATTTCAAGAGAATGATCCATTATTACAAGTTAAACAATTTCTAGTTTCATGTAAATATGACTAGGACTTGTAGACTGTAGTATAGTTATTTGCGTTACTGTTGTTAATGTGTCATTATCCAATTCAATATATAGTGTGTTCGACTTCCAGCGCATTGTATCTTCGTTGCATGACTTAAGTTACGTTCTCTAACAGAGAAATATATACATATCAATGCATCTAGCTAGTGTATACTATTCTGAAATAGTCATGTTTGGAGAAAAGAATACGATGACTATACAGTTGAACATGTATATGAGAATCTCGATGATTTGCACACAATTAGCGTTCCAAATACTCACTCAATTGGAAGAAAATATACATAGGTTATCACATCTCCAGTATTGATATGTTATTAGTGAAAGCATCGATGTTGTGACAGTGAGCTCATATACTACCTGACTTGTTAAATCCTCTAGCTAGTAAACATGTCTTTGGGTGCTACTTTTGAAACTAGAGAAGAAGAAAAAAGTGCACTACCACCGGGTGTTTTTTGCATGCTCTCTTCGATTGCACACCAATGAACAAATATGTAGTTTTGGGATCAAAGATAATTTATTTATATATGAATTCAGGTTTAAAATCTTACACGCACACTTGAAATGTTAAATCTACTTAGACGGTGGAATTAAGGTCCTATCTTGATCAGTACTATCATCGGCCAATGATTCGTCCTTGTTTCTTTTTTCAAGGACAAGATAAAATTGAGATGCAGTTGGGAACACGACAATGAGACTAGCTATAGAGAGAGAGTGATATAACTGGACCAATCAAATTTGACTTCACTTCTGTCCATATCTTCTTCTTTTCCTTTTTTATTTTATTTTACAAACTGAATAATAGTAATTTTTTGTTTCCATGGAGACAAATTAAAAGCAGACTTTATTGCCTTCCACAAAGCTTATAATAATATACACGTGGACGTTGTCCTTCACAATTTCATGGAACCAGAAAAAATAAAAAATAAAAAAACTCTGAAACGTCTGTGTCCTTTATAGATTCACTGTCAGTTTACAGTATAATAACCCTCTGTAAAGTATAACAATACGAAACCAATTTATTAATCAAAATCTAGAGATCATAGGCATGATATATTAAAAGAATAATTAGGAGAGTGACAATCATTATTACATACTACTGATTAACTACCTCATATTATAGATTTACGGCCAACACAATTTACACAAAAATTGTTGGAATTTTTACTGTAGTAGACTAGTTAAAAAAATGGTCATAAATCTGCGCTGTCACGAAGTTGTAAACACATAAAAATCATGCTACAAATTTTTGTCTAAAACCGTCAAATTGTTCATATACATATGAACGGTTTGACTTTTGTTTACTTGTGATATTAAATTGTTGATATTAGTTTAGTTATATATTCAACTAAGCTCGTAGTGTGTATAGTCTATTTTGTTGTGGAAGCTCTAGCAAATGTGAAAATCTGAATATGCTAACGAAATGGGGGTTATGTCAAACATCAATATAAATGTTGTCCAAGCTTTGAGACCATATTCCTATTTTTTTCATTTGTAACAATCAACAGACCAAAGTAGTACTATTGAATCAAGATTGTGACTCATCGAGGACATTAATACAAACCAGACTACATCATGTTTTGGGTGTATACTGACTAGCGAGGAGTCTCTCAAACCATCTCTTTGCAAAAAAAAGAAATAATGAAAACTGGAAGAGTTACAAAGTCATTATTCCCGGCTAAAACCCATAGCAAAATATACACACTTAACTGACTAGGAGTAGGAGAAGAAGAAGAACATAAAAAAAAAAAGTTATCTAATTCCACAAACATCATCATCATCATCTCCTTAGAGAGAGAGAGATATCTCACTCAAAGCAAAAACAGAGAGAATCTCATCAAAACTAAACCTCCCTCTTAAAAAAAAAAGAAGTAAAAAGAGAACATATTATGGGAAAAATATGTTATATGTTTGGGTATTCAGGGAAAGTGTTTCCAAGATTCGAAAACTGAAGAGTTCAAGGAAGAAGAAGCATTGTTGTTATACGTAAAATCGTCTGCTTCCGTACCGGTTAACCAAGGAGGCATGTACACTAACTCTTCCAACGAGTCAAAACACACGAACTCGTTCGACTCGTTTAAACTCGTGCCTAGACTCGGTAACTCAACTATCTCTTCCAGGTCGTCCGATACTGCACTTTCCTCAATGCTCGTCACAGAGAACGATGAGAACGACGCCGTCTCGCTACTCTCACTACTCTTGTTCGACGTCGTTTCGCCTGTCTCACTGCTCTCCGACCTTTTATCCGTCGTCGTTTCGCTCGTCTCTGCCTCGGAACGAAGCGGCGTCGTGTCGAAGTCCATGAGAGCGGCTTTGGTCGCCGCAGCTCTGACGTCGCGAGGGCTTAGCGAAACGGGTCGGGGCAAAAAGTCAGAGAGCTCAGGGAAATTGAGAATGGCTGAGGTTCCTTTGATGCTCATAGCCGCCACGTCGTGAGCACGCATAGCCATCTCCGCCGTCGGGAAAGTCCCCAGCCAGATTCTCGATTTCTTCCTCGGCTCACGAATCTCCGACACCCATTTTCCCCAGCTCCTCATACGGACTCCACGGTACACGGGCTGCTTACTACTTTCCTTCTTCTCCTTTTCCGAAGACGAATCCTCCATTGCTAATCTGAAAGGTTGAACCTTTTTTTCGTTTTTCTCAAATGCCGTCCAAGTGTTCGACAAAATGTCAAAGAGTCTGGTTTTTTTTTTTGGTATAGATTCGGGTTGTTGTAAAAAGAAAGAAATTTAAGGCAAAAGGAGTGAGAGTTGAGACAATTATATTTTGGGGGTGTAAGGGTTTTTTATTTATAAAAAGATACTTCTTGTTTGTATCATTATTTAGTGAAAAAAAAATTCAAGTTCTTGTTTTTGGAATGTTTCCAAACTCTCTCCCTCAACAATGATATTTAATCAAAATGATATTTTTGAAGTTTTAACTCACAATTTATATAACATACCTCCTCTGCGTAGTAGTATACTGTACGTGGTGGAATGAGAGGGACCATAGGTTATATATCTTACCTACGAGGTTGGTGTGTATAAAAAAAATTACGATTATTGTTCTCTCTAAAAAGTATCTTTTCTTTTTTAGTATAACGCGAAACACGATATGTTTTTTTAATCTTTTGCTTTTTCGTGATGTGACGAGTTATACCAAGTTCGTAGATTTTCTTATTTATAGTATTTTTCTTTACTTAATAAGAAACTCTCTGATCATATCTTTGTTTAATTTGTAAGATAACGTGCAGAACTGGAAGGAACCTACTACGGTATAGTACGTAGTCACCAGTTTGTGTTGGATTTTATTGAACTCATTAGTAGAAACTAGAAAGAAAGAATTTGCTTTTAATATTTTTCGTTATTACTACTACAACTCCAAAACAATGTACGGTTTTTTTTAACGATAAGAAACATAAATGACTTTGGTCAAGTCGGCAAGCCTCGGAGTAGGATGTACTGACTTCTTGCTATCAAGTACGTGCATTTAATCGCTGCCTTCTCGAACCGCTCTATTCGTTCCAAAAACCTTTAAAAAAAATTAGAGTGAGATATACTATTATTCTTAACTTTACCATAAGATAAGTTAAGTACAGTAATCATTTACGATAAGTTTGATAACACAAACAATCTAAAGTCAAAATAGGTAAACATAGAAATAACTAATAAGTTTCTTGGTATTTTACTACAACGGGACACAGCATTGCAAGCCAACTTTAAGAACAAAATTTGGTCATATATCATCATGACATCCATCCTAAAGAGACTATGGAAATCAAACATTTACCCGAAACTATTTTACAGTCTAAAAAACTTTTTATAATGTGCCTAGTTTCCCTTTGTAGTCTCATTTTTCTAATGACTGTAAACCCAAGTTAAATATTATAAAAAAGATAGGGAAATGATGTTATAGAAAGAATTATATACTTTGTGTCGGCTAGAGACGGATGATAATATTATAATTCTGTTAGCGAAAAATCACCCAAGGTGAGTAATTTGTCATGCAAAATAAATATACCATCATTGCAATGGATCTAATCAAAGATTATATATTATTTATCATGGGTGAAACAGTCGTTTTCAAAATTTGCTTCGGTGGTAGGGTTCTAAAAAGCCTTCATATTTAAAAAGTTGTCCCGATTATCACATCGTCAATAATGTCGACAATGGCAAATAGTTGATAACTCGGACTTTTCAAGTTTTGTTGCTTTTATGTCATTGCGAAGAAAATATATTTGATGAGATCTCATTCATCTATCTGTGTAATTTGCAGGACTGTTTGTTTTTTTTCAGATATGTAAGAAGAAACTCATAAGATCGGATGATAAAAGGCTGAAGCCGTATTTATCCATGACTATATATATGCACTGTAGCTTATCAAATCAATTAAAATTTCTGAACAAAGTTTTTCTGTACTATATAAATGAATCAAATTTAATATAATATGCACGATAGCTTATATATATATATATATATATACATCATGCACGTCGATCGTGCATATTATTCGGCTATATGAGGATTTCACTTAAAGTTCTTAATTAGCCAATACGTACGGATTTACTCAATCTGTTTGTGTGTGTGTGCGTGGGCGTATGATGTGTTGCGAACTTACAGCCAAGGCTTTTTGTATTTTTGTTTAGTGAGCTTTTGTTTGTTTATGCTATCAGGTAACTTATTAGGTTTATGTTTTAACAACAATAAGGCATACAAAATATTCTTTCTATTCTTGACAAATGATTTTTAAGCAAGTGATAAAAAGTATGTTTTTTTTTTACAGAGATATAGAAAACCAAACCAAACAAGTGATTCTTGAATCCTATGCACATTTCTTTCATCGTCTTCCATTAACCTCCTCGCACAAGTACAACCAACATCCGCACAAGTTTCGTTTTTTTCTCTTCACAATTTTACTTTTTTTTTTTTTTTGTCATCTCATAATTTTACTATTTGTCGGCGTCATCATGCACCTTTTCTTTATTTTGTTTTTTTGTTTTGTTTTTCTTCTCCACCCACTAATAGTATGTGTGAGCTGGAATCAGATACCAACAGCCCAAAATATTGAATGGATTTTTTTCTATAATAAATGCCCACGAATTTTCATTAATTCCAAAAATTAGAAGAAAACAAAGAATAGAAAAATAGTACAAAGAGAGTGAATACAATAAGTCGACAAAATGTCGAAGAAGAACAAAAAAAATAATAACAATAGTATTTTTTTTAATTAAGAAAAAAAAGTTGTACGGAGGAAGATAAAAAGCCAGCTGTCAAGCTAAGCCTACGACACTGTTGGTGACTTTCTCGACAGCTTTGGACCCTCTCTCTTTTCCTTGACTACGGTTCACGCACCGCGTTACACGTGTCGTAACCTCGACCAATCAAGACCTCACGTGATTCAATTATTACACCCTGCCCCCTGCCACCATATTACAAATTTTTATAAGCTTTGTAGTATTTTTTTATATATATATATTAAATTGTCATTCATAGAGTAAAAAGTACAATATATATATGACTAGTCGACAAAAAGAAAAACAAATATATCAGTAAGAAAATAAGAATTGTGAGATGAGATGCATAATAGAAGAAGAAGAGTAGGAGACCCAAAAAAAAAACAAAAAACTCGAGAAGCATGAAAACCTCTGTCTCACACTGAAGAAAGTTGTATGTATGTATATAGGAGAGTTACTTTGTCAAATTATTGAGCATTTTAGAGATTTTTGTACACGCCAGTTTCTCTATCGCAAGCAACCAAGATTATGTATAGTAACGGGATAGAGCACATATGTGATATGTCATTAGGGGTCTAGCATACAAATTTGGGTGGTAAAATGAGATATGAACTTTCAATCTCTTTTGGCTTTTTCCCCAAACTTATTTCAGAGCTTTGTTGGTTTTCTCGTTCAGTCTGGGGTTTGGATAGTAACTACGTACACTAATAAATATGTTGGATACAACCACAAAATTGTTATATTGTATTGATTGTAGCCTAGGTTTCATCATCATCACCATCATCTCTTGAGCGTTTCAGCTTATTATTTTCATTCAGATCGTGTTAGACCTTTATATTTCCATTCTAAACCATCCTAGATTTTGCTGATACTCAAATGTTTTTTTTTCTATTAAAAATTGGATTGTTTAAAGTTGGATCTTTGTATATCAGAGTCTGTGTGTATTTGTTCTTGCTTGTATATACATAAATATAATTAACTATAGTTTAATGTAATAAACTAAGACAATTAAATACGGAAACTAAACATTTGTAATTCAAAAACAGAATTTTTATTTTTTATTTTTTTTGCTATTAAACAGACATTACGCATACATTAAATAGAATGACGACTTTATCAAACAAATATGTTAGCAAAGTTGACAGTGATATTCAATTATTCAAAAGCAGTAGACAACTGAATTTAAAAGTAACTACAGTAATATTCTAGGTTACAACTAGATTAAATTACACAAATTTGTGGCCCCTCGAATTTGAATGATAAAAAATGAGACCTGAAGCATGGGCTTTCACCAGCGTGAGCCCTCATGGTTCAGAAGAATATTTGCTAACTAAAAAAAAAAGCCATTGAGACGAGCTTGTTTTCAAGATTCTTCTCGATCCTTGCCTTTGCGCCTGGGGGGATCCTAGGCCCAAAATTATTAACCAAATTTGGGAACACATTTTTAAGGGCTGCCTCGCTCTTGCTTTTACCATTACGTTACAGGAGGATTTGATGAACAAATGTTTTTCAGTTTTTTTTTTTTTTTTTTTTCTTTGTTTCAATCTTTTCATATCTACTAGACATTGTACGTGTCTTGGTGATCGATCTTAGTACAATTGATGTTTAAATTAGGAAAGAAATGAAAAAAAATATTCATGCACACACACATACTTACGTTATGTGGTCCTCTTTAGAAATAATTCGTGCAGATGATAGTTACAAGCAATACCAGATCTGGTCCAAATTAGGGTGCTGGCTTTTAACGTAGGACACAATATAACCCAAAAAGAGATATTCCACTTTTGATCAGGACGAAAAATACAATTTACAATTAGATGTACTCCATTAAATTCAAGCCTGACCAATCAAACGAAGTGCATAAGTCACACCTATATTGAAAAAGTATCCCCATCGTTTAAGTTGTGTCCGACAAATGTTTGTCGTCGCCTATCCACAAGTCAATTACGTTAACGTTCTTTTTAGAAAGCTGAATCAAAATCGAAGATCCTTCATGGCTCCTTTCCCTGTTTTGGGACCTAATGATTGATCCTTTTCAACCGGCAACATGAAGTTGATGATTATATGTTTGTTTGCCATTCATGATGAAGATCTTACGAAAGCAGGTGTTCATTCACTGAAGTGGAGCATAACAAATTTGATTCTGACGTTTTTGTATTGACCTGTGCGAACACCAGAAAAACGTTGTTGAAGGCGATAGATAGTGTTTTAAGCTCTTAATTCAAAAGAATTAAGAATAGACATTGTTGGAGATATATATATTCTCAAGAAGATCAAAGGTTCTCAAGTTTGTTATATATTTTACAGTGAAAGAACTATGAAGCGTGTCATAATGTGGGCGATGTAAAGTGATTGATGATGAGCTTAAAAAAGGTGTCTTGATACTGTGTGTAGCCAAATTGCTCAGTGGTTTATACTTTACAGTGATGAAACAACACAATTAGAGAAATTGTGGGGTTTTGCAACCCCCCTTTTTGCTATATTAACCAATGAATCTCTGTTAATTACTTTGTTCTGCCGTCTCAAACCTACTCTGTGGTATCAGCTTTGAAAAACTCTGTTGTACCAAATGGAGTGAAGTATCATATGAAATATATCGAATCTCTCCGGTTTAGAATGCCAAAGGAAATGCTTCTGCACCATCTTGACTCTCATCTGCATCTCTCTATACCTTTCATCAGTTATGGACACTAATATGTTCTTCAAATCAGGAATATCTTTCTCCAACACAAATACCGCAAAAGACTCCCAGTTTAGGACTTCAAAGAAGGGAGGCACGAAGTTATCGGATATGATAACCGGGACACACTCATAGAACAATGCCTCCACTACCCTAGGGCTATTGACTTCATGCCCTTTTGGGCAGATGCAATACTTGGTGCTCTTCATGTACTCCATATAACTCTTTTTTCCTTTAGATTTGGGTATCTCACTGAATATTTTCATGTCTGGATCTCTGTTACCTCCCCAGTTTTGCAATAAGAGAGGTCTAAGGTAACCATGCATTCCGCCTGCAAAGAAGGCAAGTATTTGCCTTTGTGAAATAGGTTTGCCTCCGAGAGCCCTAAGCGGTCTCCTGGGAACAAGAATAGTTGTCTCAGGAAGAGCTACATCTTTACCAAACACAAAACCTTCTGACACATCAGAATTGCATAGTGCTCTGATGCACTTGGCCATGTACTGCCTCGTTTCAGAAGGAGCCTGAAAGCATGGATTCAATACAAAGAAGAAGCGGATCAAATGGGGTTCACCGAGATCACAAAACAGTAGCATAGTAGATAAAGTAGAATTAGAAAGAATACCCAGTCATGACAAGCGACCAGAAAGTGATCAGATCCTCCAGTTCTATTCCAGAAATTATATTTCGAGGAAATCATATCCAAGTAGTTCTTCAAAAACTCAATGAGATTCTTATCACTGTGAGAACCGGGGACGTATAGAGTTTCTTCCAACATTTTAGAGCTGAAAGGAAGATAAAATAAGTGAGCTTTACGCGGGTTCTTTGTGACAAATGTTTTGCTGGCCTTGAGCTGTTTCATAAACCATCCCTCAGAAGCATATATTCCTTTCAACACCGGCTTATGCAGTACAGGTCTTTTGCCTTCCCTGTAGACATATACTTTGAGCTTTTTCTCCATTAGATCATAGCTCCTGCATTGTGAAAAATATAGAAGAAGAGACACATAAATCCAGCTAGATAAAAAATCATAGCAATTTGACCAAAGCGAAAGCACCTATACAAAGATCCTCACAACTGAAAATACCAAATAGGAGATCAAAGATCCATCCAGAGAAAGACAAGTGAAACACAACAGGAATACTGTAGCTTCTCTAAAGAGTACAGTTTTGTGGTAATAGTCTATCTTACCTAGAAGATTCCATGATTAATGATGACATTCTCAGCCAGAAGAGCAGAAAAAAAAAAAAAATATACCCAGTAGATACAGATGAAAGCAATCAAAAGGCATAAAATTATCAAATTAACTAACCTTTTGAACACGGACAGATTCCAATAGAGAGGAGCATGCAGGAAAGGGTCGTTCTCTATTAGCGGTGGGTTCTCAATTTGAATTCTTGCTGATAACAGCTCTTGATCAACTGTGGAAGACCGTTTTAATCTCTGCAATAGACAAGAAAACATGAATATTAAACTACGGAGGTGTAGTAGTAGAAACAAGACAACTAGGTGCCTTACCGGAGATTAAAAACACATACCAAGGAGACATGAGAAGTGTGGCTTTGATGCAACAAATTCATCATCTCAGTGATAGAAACCACTCCAGAATTTGACACCTTCATAAAACTTTTAACCTGTGAGGAAAGATTATCAACAGAAGGATCAGACTTGCTCTCCAGAATCTCCACTTGCCTAGTATTTTCATAAGCAATATCAGCATCTTCCACTATCGTCTCGGAACTCTCGTTTGAGCTGCTCCTTGTTCCAGGAAGCAAATCAAGAGTTTCCTTGTCTTTTGCATCGTCTGTCAAACTCTGACGGGATTGATTAGTGTCATTTTTATCAGAGCCAACTACATGGTCTTCCTGTGGAACAGTTCTTTCCCCAAGTATAGGGTCTTCTTTCGAACCAGTTATCTCTCCTTCAGCGGATATTGAACTACTAAAATACAACAATTCAGCACCGGATGGTCTGATAGGGGGTTCAGTGCTTTCATTGATTGACACCAGGAACTTATCTTCAGAAGGTAAAGAGAAGATGGCACCATCATAGAAACGTATGTTTACAAATTGGAAGACTGTGATAAAAACGAAAACGACACCAGCAAATCGTAACAATTTCATAGCATCTTCCAGATTCAGGTGGCAAACGTATAGTATGTTGCCACAAAATTCAACATGTACACTCCATGATGTCAAAAACCCTATATCACCATCTCTTAACCACAAATCAAATCTGCAAGGGATATATAGAATAAAACACACACACGAATTGGATGTTACAACTGAATATATATTACTGTAAATGGATTCATATCCCGAGACATCAATACGAAAGTAACATTTTTTCTATGCTGGAACGAATCTATCACTCATTGGTCGGAGAATTGGAAGCTAACGAGCCTGAATCGAAACAAATTAGAAAGGAAAAAACTCAATTCCTGCAGCTAATTTTTTTAGGGGGGTTATGATTAGTTCTTCTAAATAGTGAAAACAGAAAAATAAAATTGGAAACATGAAAAGAGAGATGTTGAAGAAGTGACAGATAGAAGATAAACTTGTAAGATACAAACAATACAAACAACAGCACTGAACTATAGAAGAAGATTAGCTCAGATGAACTTTGACAAGCAAAGCAATTTGTATCCTAAATAGAAGTAGAGTGGAAAGATGTATTACCGATACTGATTGTGACATGAACCGGTGAGGAGGGATTTAACAGAAGCTGCTGCTCTCAATCGATCACAAGGAAGAAACTGATTGAGAAGAAAGAAAGAGAGAGAGAGGGAATTTTTTTTATTTCTATTTCTTACACTTTTCCTTTTTCCCGTTAAAACAAAAATAAAAATAAAATCCAGCTGTAAACAAATAGCGTAAGTGTGACCGAAGATCAATTAATAACCATATATTCTGTGATTAATTAATATAAATACTTTATTACAGTGTACTTTTGTACGTAGATAGCAATAGCATTAAACATAATCTTTTTTCTTTCCCCTAGTGTCTCTTTTATTTATATGATGTCAAAAAGAAAAAGAAATATAGTTTATTAAAAAATATAATAGATAGTTTCTTTTCCCTCCGGCAAATACTAAGAATTTTATTTTATTTGAACCGTAAATCTAAATAAAATAATCTAATTTATACTTATGTTTTTACATTTTTAAATACTAACCGGATTTTTTGATTAGATTTTATAAGTTTTACTTCTTTTTTTTGCGTGTTATGTAAATTTAACATACATTCTATTTTATCATTTGATAGTTAGAGTCTTAGAGATTTCACAAGTGATGACCATGTTAAAATTTTAGTTTAAGGAAAAAACAAAAAAAAATCACACCAGACACAAACATACTTCGCTCAACACACATGAAAACGACAAGTTCAATCTTCAACACATGATGTTCAATCATGAAATAGTACGTATTTTGATCCAAACCCTAATGTTCCCAGTGATGAACGCTAGAACCGATTTCAAGTGAGTTAAGCAGCTGTTGAATCCCCTCTATCCACATTTGCTTCTCTCTTTTGTTACCACATTCGAATTCTATCACTCTTTCGACGGTTTTCACACCAAAGTAGGCTCTCCGCTCCATCATTTTTTCTACTCGTCCTCTATGCGCCCATTCTGGTATATCTCGGCACACTCCACTAACAACGCCTAGAGCCAAAAAAACACCAATCAAACGAATCTTGGTTTATACATACAAGGTAAGACGTACGAATACAATGATCAAATTAGGAATGCACTAACTCGCTAGCTAGAGACTGGTTTCATATTAACTTACATTTCTTCGTCTTTGTGAAAGTTCCACCCACATGTTTGCTCTTCATTTTAAGAACCACCTATTTCAAAATCAAGAGCCTATATATGAGGAACATATAAAAAAAAGTCTTTATAGCAAATTCTAATGGAAGTTGGTTCCCAAACACAAAGAACTTACTTGCCAATTCGAATTGATGTTAAAAGATACTTGCTTCCAATGAAGATCCCCTGTCACCAAAACAGTCATCGAAACTTAACCCTTGATAGATTCATGACATGATCAAAAAAGGTTTTCTTGGATTACAAGTCACCTTTGCGGGTGCGTTTCAAAAGCTCTTCTCCTCTAGAAACGAAAGTCATCGCTCCAAAGACATTTCTGTCTTCCAATTCTACGCTCTCCTTTGTTGCATATATCATTGCTTTGCTCTCTTTATAATTCCTTTCCATTCTTGACCTTAGAATCGCAGCTCCTCGCAGTGCTTCAAAAACCAATCAACTGTTAATTTGATAACTAAAGTTGTATAGACTGATCTTTCCTCTTCTATATCACATATGGGATTCATAAAAAGGTAAATGCTACGTACCTGTAGCAGCACTTGCCGTTAAAGCCATAACGTCTCCGTTAGTCCTAGCGTTGGTGGCAGAGCTAACGGCCGTTGCGATCTGGTTATAACCTGCCCCTATCTCCCCGGCCATCTCGATGCAATGCGAAGCGATGAGAGCGGCTGCAGACGCGACCGCAACTGCAACGGTTGTTGATTCACCCGCATGCTCTGCCGACGCAACCGCGTTAGATGCAGCCGTTGCGGCTACAACCGCAGCTACTCCTGCAACCGAGACTGCGGCGTGGATCTCAGCGTTGCGAGTTCGGGTTTCTTGTTTCTTCTTCTCCTTCTGATCCTTCAATCTTCTCCCCATTGTTTTTCCTCTTATCATGCTCTTGTACAGATGCTGCATCGTGCATGCATATTACACTTGTGTAAATGTCATTAATATTTCTATAGTTTCAACTTGATATTTCTATTATTTTATTCCAAAGAGTGTAAGAAACTTGGATGCTAAAATGTTACTGTGACGATCTTATTTATCTATATTTGCTTAATATGTATGTTTGATTTTCATAATATTCTATAGTAATAATCTCATCATGGCAATGCAAGTTGGATTGTCAGCAATTTATAAATTGTTTCCGATTCAAATTATTTCGAACTAAAGAAATAACCACATCCGATCATCCGCATATGTACTCACTACGTTACCTTTTTTTTTTTCTTTTTTTTTAATTGAATTTACAATTGCATGAAATCAATCATGACAAATTATATTGCCTTTCTCTTTTCTCTTGGTTAACTTTTTTTTTTTTTTTTTGATGTAACCAAAATTTCCAAAACCAGCCAGCTTTTTTTCTTCTTTACGTCGACTAAAGATATGATTGATTTGGAAAAGAAGATAAACCGGACAAAATTGATTTAATAAGTCTTACCTTCATTTCTTTTCCGGTTCTTGGAGTTATTGGAGGGCTGGTCTTGTTTCCTATTTGCGGCAGCAGCTGCAAAAATGATTTTACATGTGTAAATTTTGTTTCCTTTTTCTTGTCAACATTTAAAATGAACCGTGAGTTTAATATTTAAGTAACAAAAACTATAACTAAAGTTAGGCTTTTGGTAAAATCGAGTTAATTCTGAACTCAACATAAACACACACAACAACGACAACAACAACAAGTCAACAACAACTAAGAAAAAGATAGACAAAAACCTCACATAAAAGTGTTGATGCGCAAAGTTTAGTTACTTTTAAGTTTTTACCAAAATTAAATAATAAACTTGTGCAGTCGTGTGATAAAACAACAAACGAGCAAATGCGCTGAATATAAAATTTATAAATATTCAATCAAGTAAATGGCAATTTGTTGAATTACTATTAATTTGCGAATAATAGAAGAAAACTAGATAAATAATTCAGTACATTTTAAAATATTTTCAAGAAGGTTTATACAAATTATGTTGCCATTTAATTTAGTGGATATTTTCATACTTAGAAAAAAAAACAAAAAGACAATTGTTCCGAACTATAGACTAGCTGACCGGTTGAGAAAATAGGAAGAGGTAGTGACTTACAAAGTCACGAGAAGAAGCCATGGAAGTAGAATCTTCTTCGTCTTCCCTGTCTTCTCTGTTGGTGTTAACAAGCGTGGAGAGAAGAAAAGAGTTGGTGTCGGCTGCAGAATTGTTGAAGAAAGCTCTTGTGAGTTCGACGGCTGAAATGCTCCATGATCTCCCTAGAAACTCCATCGTCTCCGTCGGCGTCTCCGGTGGTAAAGCCGTCTTCACTTCACCACGGGTACTCACCATCGCTGGACCTTCTTCGTCTATGTTTTCTAGTTTTTTCCATGAATTATCTCTTCCCGTATGGCACATCATCACTAACAAAAACACACATCCACTATATATTTATTTTGACCGAGTAACGTCGTAACTAATTAAAGAGGGAGCAAATTAAAGAAGAACTTACATTGATCTTGTGTGAAGAGGGTTTTGTGCAAACTTGTCATTGTTGATAGAAAGATTTGACTGGAGAAGAATCACTATGTGACTTTGGCTTTATATGAAGAAAAAAAAGTTGAATACTCATTCCCTCTTTTTCTTTTTTTTTTTTTGGCAACGGAAAATAAATAACTTTTTTTTAATAATAACTAATATAATACATAAAGAAATATTATAAAATACAGTTTGGTCAAGTTTTGTCCTTTAATAAAGGTTTTGTTGTATATTTGATAATGTATATATAAACTCTATTATTATTAACTAGAACGCTAAAAATGAAAGTCTTTATTCTTATAGCTAACGTGATAATTCATGCTCCATTTAGAACTCACTCGCTATTAAGATCATTCACTCAACTCATGTTAGAGATAGAACATAGAAGGATTTGTTTTGATGAGCGGAAGAAAGAATATATAAAAGTAAGTGTGTGGAGCCAGAGAGAGTGCATATGTGATGATGCTATAGACAAAGTGAGCCGATATTAAGGAACTTCTTCTTTCTCCTTTTTGCCTCCCACTCATATATTTATGCATATCTAATCTAATCTAACAAGGTCGAACCTATATGATTACTAATCCATTAATACGATCGTGGTTTCTACCTAGGAACATTGAGTGGGGGGAAAACAAAAAACAAATGTAAATAACTTCCAATTGTGAGCTTGCCAAAACTTACGAGGAGGCAAGTTCTTTCATCTGTTCTTGTTGTTACTGTTGTTTTATGTCAACTTGTTGGATATTTTTGAAGCTGTAACCTTCTAATAGCAGTAAGGATTAAAACCTAAGTGAGAGTTTGATTATTTGTAAGGATTTAAAAGGAACATTCGACGAGAGAATTAATTCCGTTCTTTCTCAAAGAGTTGAAGACAAGCTGAAGAGATGGCAGAGAACCACCAAGTTTTATGTAAACAGAAGCTAAATGCATAGAATGACATAAGCGAAAGAGACCAATTGGCTTTATTGAACTATAAACTTTACACCGGCCCGTATATTTTACTACAAGGACCGAATGAACTGACCCATACAGATTAGTTACGCTAGCAATAACATAAACTCCGTCTTGATTACATGGATCTCTCTATCAACAAACAAAACACTCATTAATGTTACAGACCAGGTGGCTTGAAGAAAGGGACCAAACCAAAGGTGGTTTCAAGATCCAATGGGACCTGAAGAGCCCGTTTGAGTAGCTCGGGCGTGTTGCTCGTATCTCCTTTCCATGTCCCAAACCACGGCCCCCCTCCTATCTCCACCGCTGCCATTGAGCTCTTTGTCTCTAGTATCACCTGCATCATTATTAACCATAACCAACGTTTATAATCTTGCTTAACTGCCTTGAGAGTTGAGACTAGCTTAGACTTAAACTACAGGAATTTCTTCCCCATTTGCATGCATACCTTGCCTTTACTTCCATCATATAGCCGTTCCCATATCTGCAACTTCAATTCACCGTAACAACTATCTCTGCAAGCCGTAGCTAGCCCAACTTCTGTGGTAGGCGCACGCAGAGGTGTACCCGCTTCATCTGTTCGTGCCTCTAGTTCCACCTGCCACAAGACATTTAACGAGTGTCGGAATCTAGCCATAAGGTACATGACAAAAGTGAAACTGAATGAATTTGAGGAAGAAAAACGAATTTACCATATGGGTTTCGTTCTCTGCAGTTATATACCAATAACCCCAGGGAGACATTTCCCATCTAACAACACCATTCCATGGAACAAACTCGTACAATTTTCCATCATAGTGTACGCAAACCTGCACATTTACAAGGGTCCAAAGATTTTGAAACTGTTTGCCTTATACAGTTGAAGAATTATTCACTTTCATTGCTTAAGACGATCTAATTAGTGCATACCAGTGCAGCATTTTCAAATGTCTCAGTCAATCCAGGCAACTCCCTCAATCCGCCACCTGCAGTCAAAGCAACTTCTCCGCTTGCTCCTTCAAAGACATTACACTGGACCTGTATAGTGACATTGACGAATAAAGCTATCGATACATGTGGGTATACACAGGTCCAACTAGATGCCTAAGACTGCAACAAGAAGATAACAGTAGGATGAATTTTTTTACCCAAAACCATTTTCTTGGGAAGCCTCCACCCCAATTCTTCTCTGAATAAGAAGGTGCATCCCTAAACTCAAACCTTTCACCACCCCATTCTATCCATCCTGCAAAATCAAGAGATAAAACATAAGAACTAAAACCTGTTGATTGAAAGAGGATAATTACGCAAGTGGATGATTTCTTTCTTAATTTTCTGTTAGTACTTAGCACGCAAACTTAACCAGTCTTTTTCTACCAATTAATTCAATCAAGCAAGCTCACACCTGTGGAAAGGCCTCCTGCCATGCATATCTGCCAATGAGGCTCAAATACAGGAAAAACTGCAGGCCAGCCTGCAGTTGACTTCTGTTTGGCTCCAACATCACCCCAACCGTAAACAGGACGAGTACTATACTCCCAACGAGCAGATTTCACAATTTCCGTATAGTCAGTCCTGCCAAAACAAGCAAATTAAACACAAGAAATTTACAATAAAAATACTTAATATCCAATAACGAAAATACAGAGAAGCAGATAATTACCGGCCATCATCGCAAATGTGACCTTGATGCCAAAATGGGGTAGCTTGGAATCCTTCTGACACTCTTGTGTTGAATTCCTACAATTTAACGCTATGCTTTATATACAACATTCAAGAGAATAATAAGAGTGAAAAAAACTTGAGATTTCCCACAAGTAGAAGTAGAACACTATAATGCCTATGCTTATTTCAGATCACTGAGTATTTTAGTGAGGGGATGGAAACGGAAAGATATCTAACACATAACAGAGTAGTTAACGAGGGAGGAGGGAGAAAATAGATGTTTTGTATCAACCTCTGGTGGAACCTCCTTGTTTGGAGGCGTTGCTCCTGGCACGGCACTAAAAGTATTCCCCAAAACTAGCTCATGTCGATCTACGCAAGAGTAAAATGTTTAGGTGAGGAAGTTTCAAAGTCATGTAAACTGACGTATATGAAAGATAACAGCAGCAGCACCAAAAGATAACAAAATCCAGAAAAGACTTGGGAGACTTTCAGATCAATAACGAACATAAGTAGTAGCAGGAGAAACAAGACTCAGATTTTGATTTCTTCTTGTCATGAAACAGCAATTTAAGGACCAAGAAGTTACCTCCCCAGAAGTTGTGAGACTGCTGAGTGTATTGGCATATATACTTATCATTAGCGCCAAGAATCTGGGCTCCGACACCAGTGAACCTAGGTCCATATAGAGCCGTCTCCAATGGTGACAAACTCTGACGAAATGCAGGATTCTCCACAGAGTACATAAAGCAAAAACTCTCCCTCTTCTCTGGGATTGAAACCCTGAAGTACCATCCCTCGAAGAACTTCCTAGCTGTTCCATCGAAATGGTATCTGTATTTTTCAAAATTTCAAACAACATTGTTTGATTAGCAACTCTAGATTGCAATTTTCACAAAATTCAATTCACAATTAGTTTTCGAATGGTGAGAGAGCAAAGCAACTTAAAAAACAAATCTTTTCAACTACTTAATGGAGAAAACACATATTAAAGCAGGAAAGGAACAATATTTAAGTCCTAATCTGAAAATAGAATCGAAGTGGATGAATTTACCCACTGTGAGGAGTCCGGAGCTCGCGATTAGGAGGCGTAGGGACGTAAAGAGGTTTCACAGAGATCTTGTCGGTGTCAGATGAAGAAGTTTCACTATTCGGCGTGGAGATCGACGCAGAGACCCTAGGAATGGAGCGGGGACGAAGTTTGGCCGATTTGAACGGAACGAGTGAGCGAGTGATGGGAGATACTGGACGAGAGAGCTCAAAGGAAGATAAATTAGGGTTCATCGAAACAACCAAGCTCCGTACCTCCATTATTTGAAGAACGGATTCAGAATGAGAAAATGAATTATGCAAAAGAATGTGAAATTGTGTGTTCGGTGAGTGACAAATCATGTGAACGATATATACTGCAAAGGAGAAGAAGAAGAAGAAGAGGAAGGGAACGTGTGGCGGTAAGTACTTACGTGGCAAACCCAAAACGTAACGTATTAATTAGTTATAACATTTAACAAAATCTTTTTTGTATTTTTATTTCCTAGTCTCTCTGTTTTTTATTTTCCTTTCTGTGGCCGACTTGTTTTTTTTCTTTACTCCTTTGGGGAATTTGAATATATCAAGGGAAACTCTAACATAAACAGTAGTAAATCTGACGTTTATTAAAAAAAAATTAAAAAATAAAACAGTAGTGAATCTTAAAAAAATTAATTATAGATTCTGGGATAAAACTAGAAACAGTAGTGAAATATTTTCCCTTTGTTTAGTTGTATTTTTTTCCTTTCAAAGTAGTAACACTTTTTCTAATATTTTTAATTTGGTACAAAAATAACATATGTATAAGAAATTATAAATATATATTCCGTTGACCAAAAAAATATATATATTCCAAAATAGAATAGGTATTACCGTAATATTATTAGAGGAATCTAAAGAGAAAACTAACATAAAAATTAAAATTCGTCAACAGCAGGATTCGAACCTGCGCGGGCAAAGCCCAATTGATTTCGAGTCAATCTCCTTAACCACTCGGACATATTGACGATCTGTTTATTGTGCTTTTTGTTTGTTTAAATACAGACACATAGGATACAAGCTAACCGTCATCTTTTGATTTTCGATTCTGGACCCAGTTTTATGTTTGTTTGTACTTGCTCCTTTTGATTAATTTTATGTTTGTTTGTACTTGCTCCTTTTAATTAACACCATTGATCAGAACGTCATCGTCATCATCGCGAGTCAAGTGAGATTATACAGTGCAAACATAGTTTGACATTTCATGTCTACATAGATTAAGACATGAGAGTTGCATTCAGATACAAAGAACAAAACATCCTTAAGTAATCCTGAGAACCATGACTCTACAACTGTTATCAAACTTTATTGCCAATGGAGAAAACAAAGAAAAAGGTCTGAAAACACAAATGACATTAAAACGTCCTAAAATTGAAACCCCAGACAAACCCCAAATCGCTGAGTTGACAACAAAAGATTTTCCAGTTTTCTTTCTCTACAAGAAATATACAAATCCATTACCCGTCATAATCAACGGTAAATTATAAGGAAGAAAGATAACATATATATATATATATATATATATATATATATATATATCTATGTATCTCCCACAAGGGTAAAATCAATGATGATAGCTCAAATAAGAGAAGAAAAGAGAGTTAGCTGAGTAAAGAAAACAGAGGGTAGAGGAGACGAGTACTTATAAATGATCCGAGGATTTCTCACATGGTACCAGCTCTTCCAGAAGTCGGTTTTGTAGGCTTGAATTTGGAGATGTCAACGAGATCCCCAAATAGCTTGTCCTCTGGTTTATTTTTAGGTTTCATAGGAGGCAGATAAGATGTGGTAGATGTCGATGATGCTACCTGATGCGAATTCTGGTCTCTGATGGATAAACCATACATTTGCTGGTCCAGATATGGGCTGCTTCCTTGTTGCTGTTGATTATAGCCATAACCGTATCCTCCCATCTGGTTTCCATATGCTTGTTGCTGTTGTTGTTGTTGTTGCTGCTGGGCATAGAACTGAGCCATCATCATCTGCTGCTGCTGTTGAGGTGGATAGCCTTGCCCTTGCGCCTGATTGGGTTGGTTTGGCATGTACATACCGCTTTGTGGCATTTGAGGATATGGACTGTTGTTGTTAAACGGTTGGCCGGTTTGGGGAATTTGAGCATATGGACTGTTGTTGTTAACTGGTTGGCCGGTTTGGGGCATCTGTGTATATGGACTGTTGTTGTTAACTGGTTGAGCCTGTGTGAAGGCGGCCTGTGCCAGATGCATTTGAGGAGAAAACGGACTTCCTGACTCCGCAGTAGGACTGAAGTCTTGGTGCTGAGCTTCCCATGGGGGTGGTGGAAATGCCATATTGTCTTGGGCACCTTCTTCACATTACAAAAGTACCACAAACATAACAAATAAGGATAACATATGAGACATTTAAATTAAAACTCTCGAATCAAAAAGAGTGAAACGCCTTCTCGTTATTGAACATATTAAAAGTTGTAATATAAACTCATATTTTACCATAAGACGGCTGGTGTGGTTGTTGTGCAGGCTGATTGCTCCAGGGAGAAGAGACTCCTTGCCCGTATGACGACTGCTCAAATTGGGAATAACCCATTTGAGGAGAAAATCCGTTGGATTGTTGTAATCCGGCTTCTCCAGCTTGACTATTTGGTTGCTGGTGCGGTTGAGGATTCAAAGGAATACTCTGGGAAGCTGGATTGCCAGTTGGTGCAGTTGCAGGACTGGAATTATTAGTATTGTCTGAGAACATATCAATAAGGGCAAGTGCATTTTGATCTGATGCAGCCGGACTTGCTGGTTGAGGAGGTCCAACAGGAACAAGGGCGAGATCATCGCCACTGAGGAGGTCTATTTTAGAATTGGCTGGACCATTAGTTACAGGTGGTGCAGGGAGGGCCAACTGATTTAGAATCCCGTTACCAGAACTTGATGTAGCTCTGTAAAAGTGTTGGACATAGTACAAATCAGTAGCTATGTCATAAGACATAAGAACTTTTACCAGGTCATTTGGTCTGAAACCCGAGTTCTTACTTGGTAAGTTAAGAGAAAAATCTACACCGTTTATATGTAAATGATTAGCGTTACTCTCAAATTCATAAGCAACTTCTCGTGTTCACATCCTAAAATTGTAATAATTTTGACGTGTAAGCCATATATTGGGCTCAAGCTTGCAGCTAAGACTGGTAATCCATATCCAAATATAGGTGATTTTATCTAACAATCTTGGACGCAGAACTCTCAAGTTTGGACTAACGTACCCGTTCGCCTGATTACTGCTGTCACCAGTATCAATAAGTGGACTATCAACATCAACAAGGGATTTTCCTGTCTCGGACTTGGGCTTCTCAATTTGAGTAGAGGTGCCAGGTAATCCAGAAGCGATTGCTTCATAATTGGTTAAGACACGCTGCAAGTCGTCATTCAAAGCCAGACCTTGACCTAACAAAGACTCGTCCCTGAAAATCAAATTTCAGAGGTAAAGAAGAGTACATGGAAACATAAGCTCTAAAGCATAAAAGCAAGAGGACAAAAAAGAAAAAAATAGCATAAACGCAATTCTCATCAACTGGATTATTCGATTTGATCCTTTCAAAACGTAAAGTAAATATTTAACAGCGATAACTCAGACATGCACGGATCTGAGATAACTCTTAATGAAGTTCTCTCCCCACCTTCTTTACATAATAAATCAAAACCCACACAAAACGTGAATACTCCCTCAATCCCTCTTTGCTTTCAATCTGATACAAAGAGCTTAACCAGCTATAACCCATGGCTAATCCATGGATGCTTATTTTACTTAAGTACAACTAGAGTCTATGGGCCTCTAAACGCACACTATCTGTGCCTCTTCAGAAATCAATTGAATTACCATGGAAGTTTACAGGCATCATATTGCCCGGTGTAATATATGCAAGCATAAAAACCAATCATTCGCTGCATAATCCAGTGGTAATATGTATGCATATTTAAAGAGATTTATTACACTCCGAGCATAATAACTTATATAAGATATGAAAGAGATAACCAAAATAGAATCAGAGAGGAAAATAAAAAGCTCTTACGAAGTCGAGTTGACTAGGTGTACAACTCTTTGTTTGTATGTACGACACTGCTCCACCAAATCAACCATCACCTCCTGTTTGAGATCCTGAATAAATCCAAAAAATGAGAAGAGTGATTAACCTCAATCACAATGCCCAAAAAGAATTCAGAATATGTTCCTCTTATTAAGTATATTTTGCATTATAGCCAGCACTTGCAAAGAGATAGTTAAAACACTTTGCAACTAAATCGTGTTACCTCCTTGTTTCCAGGCTCTAATGCACTCAGCATTTCTGCAAGCACATCCATGATACCTTTTGCATTTTGAATCTCTGACATACTGAAAAAGATTTCGACATACAGCAGAATAAAATTATGAGAAGCAATAAATCCTCAGCAACAAAGGCATACATATACGTGCTAAATAAAGCAAGCAAATAGACGCAAAACCAACAAAACATACATATAAGTCCTAACTTCTATGATTTTGTTAAAACAATTTCTTAAAATAGGGGAGCTGCAACAGAAGATATCTACCTTAAAGTCGGAAATTCTGGCTCAGCTGAAGGTTCAGGCACATCATTACCAGGTCCAGCATTACGAAGATTTGGAGGGTAAGACGTCAAAGGCTGTGTTTGTGGAGGTGTGAACACAGGAGCTGATCTCTCTGATCTCTGAGGGAAAACAGCCCCAGCGCGCTGAAAGGGACATGAGTAAGCACTGGTGGTTAGGCAAGAGTAGTGGACGATTTCTAACAGAACTCACAAAGGAATCACAAAGAATTTAGTATGACACATATTTAAATTTCAATATGAGACATCTGGATATCCAGAATCAGAAACAATACTACACTGGAGGAAAAAAAACGAAACCCAAAAAGCATTTCAAACGACCAGACATACCAACAATTCCTGGTATCCTGCATAGTATTGTGGATATCTTGCCCTAGGGCCACCAAAGGCCTCTTGCCATGTATCGATAAGGACCAGAATCTTTTCTTTGACATGGAAGTCCGGCTACATGCATGGGACCAATTTGGATCAGAGAGATAAAGAGATGGAGAAAATTAATTCTTCCCAACAAGACCAAATTGGAAGAAACCTTACCTTCTTCTTAACTATTCGGACCATCTCATGAATAACACCCTTCTCAGCCACATGCATATGAACCATGTCACCACAGTTCTTCACTATAGTCTCAAGCAGCTAGAGCATAACAAATGCATAATGAGTAAATATACTATCATTGCAAGACAACGAGAAAGATGAGATTAAGTGAAAATAACTATCAGCATATCATAAAATCCTCATCGTGTACATTAGTATAATGAATAAGTAATATCTACTGATAAAGAGACAAATGCCAAAAGGATTGGAATTTGAAGCTAGATGCGTAACTAAACAAACAAGCAATCTAAATGTAGAGTTACAGAAACAACAATGGTAATTTCAACGAAGTAACGATAAAGGAAAAGAAAAAGGAGAGAGTAAGCTAGGAGCTCACAGTTAAGGCAAGGAGTTGAGCTTTAGGATTCCTACTACCAATCCGTTTTTTAACGCCTTTCACAACATCTTTTGCTTGCCTACGAAACAGTAACCAGTTTCACACATCAGGTAGGATTCGTCCCGTTAGTATAACCACTGAAATCACTGATGAAAGGAAAATAATATCCCAGCTCTAATGAAACATGATAATATCAAATTCTTCTCCAAAAAAGAAAAGAAAGATAAAAAAAAAGAAGGAAATTTGATAACCATCTTAGTGTAAAGTCTAAAACTGAACAACAAAGCCAACACAGATTCAAATCGGCATAGAGAGTATCATAAATTAACAAGAGACTAATCGAGAAGTTAAGAAGAAGGGAGGAGATAAGGAAAAACAAAAATCGGAGGGAGTAGAGAAGGAACGTACGCCGGATCGCTATTGAGCATATCACAGATCTCAAGGTTCATAGCCCAATCAGGTCCGATCAGCATCTCGCTCGTCGCTCTCTCCACCATAGCGTTAACCATCTTCGCTTTTGACCTCCCACCCAAACAACAACAGCAAAATAGAAACCTCTAGATGGGACGAACGAGAGAGAAAGAGAGAGGGACGAATAACAGGTTTTCTCAGGCGACGAAGAATTAAGCAGCCGTGTGTGAGAAGAAGATCACGCAAACGAGATTACTCCGGCGAAGAATCTCTCTCTCAGGAATTCACGCCCTTCTCTCCTCTCTCTCTCTCTTCCCTTTCTAGAAAATTGGTTTTTCCTTTTTCTCTATTATTAATTTTCGGAATGTTTTTTATTTTATTTATTATTATGTATTTTCTGTTCTTCAGATGAGATCACTCTTTTTATTTTTTTCGCGAATTATAAAAACTAAAAACGGAAAAAATAAATTAGTCGAATATCTTTAGAGAAGGTCCACTAAAAGATTAACACGTCATCTCTTTTGTGTTTTGATGACTTTGCACCAATTCATTGCTTTTCATCGGACGGTTGTTTTCACCCCACTTACAAATCAGACGGTCGTCGTTTCACTAACAAGAAGTAAATGTTAGTTATCTTTTTGGTTTTGGTTTTGGGTTTAGCTAAATATATAATAATGTGATCCAAACGTTATGAAACCGTTAAATCCAAATCTTACAAGAGTTTAATCATCAAGTAATGTAATTTGTTTTATCTTATTTTTAGTGAGTGGTGTGATACAAACCTAAACCATCTTTATCACACATCTATTACTACTCTATTGAGTTTTCATTTCTTTATCACTTTTCTAGTTTGGCTGTATTCATCCACTTGCATAAATAAGATAATGAGTATCAAAATTACGTATAAGAGTGTTATTTCAATGTCATCAGTTGAAATATTTAGGGACTCTAATCGAATAGCTAAGCATATTCTATGATTATGATATATAATTGAGCGGGAAATTGGATAACCTCGCAATTTGAAAACCTTTTGGGGTCAATCTGTAATTATACACAAGTTATCTAATCACGTAGTATGACGTCTCTCTCTTTTACACGCGCCTAATTGTTTCTGCGTCACCTTCTTTAATTCTTCTTTTCCTCATTTTCCCCAATTCGGGAGGTTCATTGATCTAGGGCTCCTCACTAAATTTGAAAAACCCTATTTTGATTTCTTCGGCTATCACTGAAAGCAGTCTGGTGAAAAGGGCCTCGCTTGATTGTGGGTTACAGGTTTTATTTGTGTGGGTTCTTCTTCAATGGCGATCATTGGAGACGCGTTGCGTCAAGCGTTTATGCCAAAGCAAGAGTACGAGAGCCTAAGGGAAGAAGATAGAGCCTGGATTAAGCTTCAGAGGCCGACATTAATGTCGATCGTGGCTTTCCTTTGCTTTGTCATCTTCACTTGCACGATCGTCAGCTTGAAAATCGTATTTCCTTCGAATGTTCTTAAGAGGCCATTTTGCAGCGATGTGAAGCTACAGCCTTTGCCTATGTATGGGAAAGCTCGTGACTCCGATCTGTTTCCCGGTGCTTTTTACTTGACGGATCAAGAAACTGTCGATTACTACTGGATGGTCGTCTTTCTTCCCTCGACCATAATCTTCCTTGTATCATCTGTTTACCTTGTGGCAGGTGAGAGTGTCAAGTCTCTTGCTTATGTTCTTCCTGAATGCTTGTTGCTAGGTTTTTAGTTCTACAAATCATTCGTTTTGATTGAAGCCACTATATGGAGACAAGTCTAGTTCTGTGTTGGTTCTGGTCTTTTTTGGACTTCCAAGGGTCAAGCCACAGAGCAAGTTGTGGGCTTTGTAAAATCCAGTTAATTCCTCTGCTAGATTTTGTTAGATTATATTTTATATGGAAGAAAATTGTTGGATCTTACATATTACCTTTATAGCTTTCTGTCTCACATGGCCTTCTTAGGTCTAATTTTCTAAGTTTTGAGGGTTATTAGCTATCAGTTGAACGATAAGAGAGATCAGCGGCCAGCGCTGTTGCCATCAGAATTTGATTGTTACATGTTGCCAAATATATGCAACTTCTGGAGTATGAGTCCCATCTTTATCTCTTTTCATTTTTTTACCTCAAAAAGTAACTCTAACAACATGGAAACGTTGTTAAATGCTTTGCTATCCTAAATAGCTAAACCTCTCTACAATTTCCTCCTTTGTTTTGTCTTTAGTTAATCTTTACAACATGTGGTATGTCTTGTTCTTATAATTTCGTTATTTGTTGCGATACTGCAGGAATTTTTGTGGCTTATTCTGCTCCTCACCGTCATCGGTTTCTGAAAGTAGTTGAAAATAATTACTGTGCGTCAAGAAGAGGTATACTCCTCTCTCCTTAAGATTTATTCGGCTTTCCATATATGTGTTTTGTACTTTCTATCCTTTTTAATGTTAGACTTTATCGTCTAAGATTTATGTATAATTCCTTTTCATCTGCTATTAATTACAATATTTCCACTTTTGCGAATCTTCAGAGTTGCTTCTCTCTCTGGAATATGTTTTTGATTTTCTTGATCTTGGCTATTAAATTCACAGGTGGGGTTCGTTGCCTGTCAATTCTGAATATTGTCTTTGCTATCATCTATGGTCTCCTTGCTGTATTTCTCGGCTCAAGCCTTCTGACACTAGGAAGCAGCTGTTCTGTCCCATTGTTTTGGTGCTACGAGATTTCTTCATGGGGTTTGGTAATCTTGTATGCTGGAACTGCTTTCTTCCTGAGAAGAAGAGCCGTATTAACTATTGACGAAGGAGAATTTGGGAACAGAAATGATCAGGGCTTGGAGATGCTTGAAGCTAATCCCTTGGAATTCACACCAGATGTTGAGAGACGGGTGAACGAGGGGTTCAAAGCATGGATGGGACCATCTTTATTATCATCTGATGAAGAAGACGAACCTGAGTTTTACAATGAAGTGCCCGATGTAACTAATACTCTTTTAAGCAGGCAAAGATCTTAACTCTTGGAAAGAAGAATTTGATACGACACTTTCGTAAACCTCCTAAGATGGTTGCGAGATTGGGCTCACCAAATTGTTGCCCCGGTGATTCTCAGGTTTTTTTCAGTTTCTGCTGATGTCGCTTATGGACGGATCATAAGAAGATTTAGATTTGGAAGACAAATTAGAGCAGTTAGGATTATTGTGGTTGTAAATATACATACAGTCGATCATCAAGATTGGGTTTAGTTCTTTCTTTTTAGCAGTCCATGGCTGGTTTTGATCGTTTACATTGTAACAATACATTTTGACGGTACAATGTCCTTAACATGCATTAATCGCATTATAAAAGGATTATTACCATAAACTCTACAAGTTCTATAGAAAAGGAATCCGTGTCTCCACAATGTCAGGCTACAAAATTTGATGTTATGCTATCAAAACCTGGTGTGTTTATTATCGGTTTTATGAATCAATATATTTTACCCGAATATTGTGAAAATTCTTGTATCATTAAATAGAATAAGAAGTAAAAAAAGACTTGGGTCATAACGAGGATGAGAACTTTTGGAATTCGAAGCAGTTTCTTGAGAACGAGTTAATTTTCCGCTATATAATCAAATATATTATATCCCATAGTTGAGAGAGCTACACATTAAAAAGTTAGAAACAAGAAAATTAGACGGAGGTAATAGAAAGACATACACATACGGGATCAAAAAAATTGAAGGCGGGAATGAATGTCCCTTCAGAGCTTTATGAACAAAACCGGCCATTTCTATCTGCAACTCTTCAAAAGGTAAGATGATGGGCTTGAGTAGCCTCCTGGTGGAGCTGAGGATACCGTTGATTTCCCTGGCGTCCCACAATCGCTGAAGTCTAATGTGCGACGTTCCACCTGCATTTCAATAGAGAATTGGTTCAGTGTAAGTCAATTTATTAACTCAAACTGTTATTCCTCTTATCTCTACCAAATTCAAGATCCAACTCAACATTAAGCTATACCAAGAAAAGAGGAAGAGAGACGATAAGGTTTTTGTAAATGCCAAACCTGGGATCGGTTTCCAAGCTGATCATGAGGATGGTGCTGATTTTCTTTCCCTTGAATGGATTTGTTTAGCTGTCTCTTCTTGAGTATTGTTTCAGGTGTGTCATTACCCAAAACTTCCAAGGCATCTGCATATGCCGTAGCTGAGTGTTCACTCAAATGCTTCATCAGTCCTATGGCATCATAACTCCTCTCCCCGGGACTCATAAAACACCCAATATCCTGAAAAGAAAACAACAAGAAATAAAGAATATACGTTAATCAACACGCACTTCAATCTAAACGAAAAGGTATAAATTATACCGTATAATATTCAGAAACTAAGTTGATTTAAAGTTACTCCATCTCATATTTACCTCAAATGTAACTTCTGGAGGCAACTTTGGACTTTGCAAGAAAGAACCAAAGAGTAAAGGAGATTTCCAAGGTGATGGTGTGTCAAGGAGTTTTCTATAAGGCGTTCCATCAAATCTGAAAAACAAGTGGAACCAACACAACTTAAGTAGAAGTATAGAACTTTCCGGCTAATATGTTGCAATAGCAAAATCAGTTATCAAAAAACATTCAGAGGAAAAGTATAACTTACATGTTAAAGTTTTCAATGTCAAAGCTGGTCTCTGTAGTGTTAGTTTTATCAATTGCTGATAAAGGACTGGAGTCCACTGTGCATGGAAGTTCTGGTGAGATTTCTTCGGTTGGAATATCAGCTAATGATCTTTTGTGCTGGTTTGAAAGATCTTTCGCACTTGTATTAACTTTGTTATCTGATCTACCTCCAGTCATACCAGGAGAACACAGTTGTATCTCAACAAAAGTTCCAGAAGTTTCTTGGTCCTGGTGCAAGAGCAAGCACGAGATTTGTAAGGTTACCTTATTGTGGATTTAGCACCAATTATACATCTATTATCATCAATATAGACAGTCAAATAACTAGATGCAATGTGTTTGAGTAAATGGGACTGATATGATCTCACAGGATAAGCTTTCAACAAACTAGATGAATGTTTTAAGCACCAAGAAGTTCACTAATAGAGTCAATAAATGTATACCAGATATTGCACCTTACAGCCATAGACCTCAGAGAATGAGATGACTGAGATTCAATAAGTAATACCAAATAATATGCAAGGACAAAGACGGACTTACATTTTTAGCTGAAGCACCACCTTCATTACATCCCTTTTGATTTTGCATAGAAGTCACTCCACCTAACTTTAAGGTTTCCTTTGGTTCCTCATCTATCGGAATCATTTCTTGATCTGACCAACCTGATGCAGAATATCTATTATCTTTGGCTTTGGAAGGGGATGCATGTCTATTTTTATTTTCAGGAGATTCTGACGGACGAGTAGACATGCAATCATCTCCTCCATCAAGCATTACATCTAAGCATGAGAGATCTTTAGCCAAGGAGGAAGTCGCAGCCCTTTTAAGCTTTTTGTCTTTTCTTCTATCAAGCACAGGTGACAGCAAGTCTCGATGTCGCTTCTTTAAGATGGAAGGTGCATTACTTAAACTTTTCGTAGCATCATTAAGCATGACATCAGGGCTCCTTTCGTGACACGGTGAATCCCATAACCTTAAAGGAGTTGTACAATTCATCGAAGAAATCATCAACTGGCGGATACCAAAGGGACTGTACTCTTGACGTAAGTCACTATTTGATGGTACAAGATCACAGCTGAAGAAAGGAATATCTGCACTTGGAAAACGTGGAGGTTCATAACAAAGAGCTCCTTTGTCCTTTTCAGCTGGCTTATCATCGATAGGAAAATAAATCCTGTTCACTCTAGAAGGAGAAGAAAAACTATTCAGTGGTACTAGCTTCAAAGAATCCTTGGGAATATATGAAAGCCCATGTTGTTCTATACCATCATTATCATTGCCATGGGAAGTTACATGTCCATCAGTGTCAATGAAACTGTCATTTGTGACAGTCTTACATTCTAACTCAGTAGCTCCAAAAAGGTGACTACCTTGTATAGGAGGATTGGAATCATTACGGAGTAAAACTGGGTCCTTCAAGTCTGAATCTGATAAAGGGACACAATTATGACCCGCCTGGACCTCAGAACTTGAAGGATGCCTGGATAAAGCTGGAAGTTTTCCAGTTTCATGAGCATGGGATTCTACAGACTGAGAACAAAGACATCCTTTGCCCTTTCGAGGGTCAATCATATTCCGACCTTGCTTAATAGAAGACGTACAGCTATCTTTCATGGTATCTGGGAAAAGAACCCTACAACACTCTTCATCTGTGATCAAAGTTTGAGCTTCTGGATCTGTGTCCGAATTTGGCAAAGAAGGTTGTTCACTTAATCTTCCTGAACTTTGAAAAGCTTGTCGATGTGCTTGATTTTTTCCATCATTGTCCATGTTATCAGTCAATAAGTCTAGATCGGGGTCCTGTTTAGCTTCATTAGACATACCCTGCAATTGATCTTCCGTAGCTGTGGTAGTTCTAACCTCATGAGAACAAGTAAGATTCTGAAATTTCTTTGAGCATTCTGCTTCACAGGATATTTCGGGCACAACAATTTTGACCTCTTCAAAGGAAGGGTAGTACGGCTCTGCATCGTTTGAGATTTGGTGCTCTGCTCTTGAATGAAATTCAGGCATGTAAAATTCCTCATTTCCAGGTTTAACTTCCTCTTGTAAATCGTTGGTTGACTGTGAAAAAACAGTTGAAGCTTGGCTGCATTCTGATTCTTCAGCATCAACCCCTGCCCTTGAATTACCTTCATCTCCGCTGCTGTACATCCACGAGGAAGATGAAGCGATAGATTTGTTCTGAAGGGCAATTAATGGCGAGCTTTGACACTGATCTAAAAGGCCAGAAGCATAGTAGGAATCCAACTTCTTCTTAACTGAGCTGTTCCAGTGATTTTTTATCGAATTATCTGACCTATGGGAAAGTAAGAACAAATAAGCAAATCACCAAAGCAGGAAGGATAGACCACAATAGTCAGCAGCAAAAAACACTATTCCATCGCATACGAGGCCACAAATTCTTTATGACTGTTGTTATACTAGGACCCATGAAAAAGACAATACTTACCTTCCTGGCAAAAGTTTCATTAGTTCTGCCCATTTATTTCCATAAATTTGATGCGCACGAATTAGAGTCAGTTCTTCTTCCTGAGTCCAAGCATTTTTATTGATCAGAGGGTTAAGATGGTTATGCCACCTACATCAGCCACAATATTGTTCATGTGCATTGAAGTACTACCCAATGTATGAAGTGTAGTATAAAAAAAACCATTTTACAGGAAACGAAGTAGAGAGTTGTGCATACCTTTCCCTACACTGTTTCCCTATGCGCCCAGGTAAATGCTGAGATATAGTAGACCATTTTTTTGCCCCATATCTTTCAACCAGAGCAATTATAGTGTTATCCTCCTTTAAAAATATGGAAAAAATGATATTTCATTGAACACATTACAAATGCTAAGGTGTGAAAGACTCAAATTGAGTAAAGCATATAAAGCAATTCACCAAATCACCTCTTTCGACCACGGTCCTTTGACAAGCTCTGGGTTCAAGACCTTTTGCCATCTATGAAGACACTGGACATCAGTCCGATCCTTAAAACATTCAGCTGAAAAGGTGAATCAAATAAAATCACACATTGCTTTCATAATACTAACTAAAGACTACATATTATAATTCCCTATTCAACTTGCCTATCTTCTTCCAGTTCTTTCCTTGAAAACGCTCAACAGCTTTGCACAAGACTTCGTCCTGATCCAGGAAAACAGAATTTATCATAGAGACAAATATTCAGTACGTGCGAAGGGTGGCTAATGTCAACGAGTTAAATGGAACTGTACAAAGCAACAATAGGGTGTGATATAACCAACTGATTACGCTCAGTCAGTGTTCCTGGAAACATTAAATAAAGCATGGAAGAATCAGACAGACAACAAAAAAGACACAGGAAAGGAACCCACCTCTTCAGGCGTCCATTGTCCTTTGGTGGATCGTCTTGCAGGGCCAGATGTCCTCCTATGAAATGTCAAAAAGAGTTTGCAACATTAATCTGAGAAAGTGTCGTTGAATGCCAAAGTTGGTGCTAAAAGCAGAACAATCTTCAATATTGAAAGGCAACAGAAGAAAAGAGAAGTGAGAAGGGAGGAGCGTACCCGTGTTTCCCTTTAAGTTCGCTTTGGAAACCCTCTGGTGGAATAATAGGTGCTTTCATCTCACGCTTCATACTTAGCAAAGAAAGCCAAAAGACACACCCCAAAGTCGATTTCTTTGATGTGTCTTACGAATCATCATAAGCCAGGCGCAATGCAACAATCTGAAACAAAGATAAAACCATAAAATCAAAAACACAGTCGGACTTCTTAACAATCAGCATTAGCTTACATATTCAATAACAACTGAGCAAAGGAGTAAACATTCCCAGAAACTAAAAGTCAAAACAACGAAGAATTCACAATAAATAAATAAAATTGAAAGAAGGCAGCTTTAGATTAAGAGAGTGGATCCAAACAAAAACAAAAACCTAAGAGAAGAAGCTGAAATGAAAGAACCTCGAACAAAAACCTCAAAAAAAGCTTCGACCTTTCTCTGAAAAAAATCGAACCTTTCAACGAAATCGCTAGAGAAGATTCAAAGAGTAGATTTAAAAAAAAAAAATGTTGGTTCAAAAATCGGGAAAGAGTCTGGGTGAAAAAAAACAAACCAAAATGTGACCACAAGAGACGGAGACAAAGGTCAAACGAGTAAGCCTCACACTTGGCAGATCCACGAAATCTAAGTATAATCCAAGTAATTAAGACGACGCTGTGAATCCAGACGAAGAAGAAGACCACAAATCGGAAATAGAGAGAGAGAGAGAGAGAGAAGAGAAGAGAAGAGGTATTCAAAACTCAAACAGGGAGAGGCGGAATTCGAAGTGAGAGAGATCAAAACAAAAAGGGAAAGTGATCTCAGCCGTTGATTTTAATCTCTGAATCTAGCTAAACTAGTCTCTCTCGTCTCTCCCGTCATAATAATAAAGTTCATTTTTTTTTTGAGATTTTGTTTCCTCTGAACAGCATTGAAATACGACTTATTAGCATATCTACCTTTTCTTTAAATTTTGGTGAGATGACATTTTTTGTTTTTTTTTTTTGAATTTTAAAGGGGCGATGATGAAATTGCCAGTAACAGCTAGCTATTCGGTAAAGTCAGCATATAACCCTAAAAACAATGTGGACAAAGTCAACCGAAAGGACCAAGAATTTCCAATTTGATTCTCAAAAATATTTAAAACGACCAACTCCAGTGTGAGTTAGTTGATACAGTGGTAACATTTGTACTATAGCATTAAGTAGACAGTGGAATACTTTTTGATGTCGTTATTATTAGTTGATTCGTCATTTGGGAAAGCTTTCCAAAAGAAACTTAAGATTTAAAACATGATGAAAGAGAAAGCACATCATAATAGAGAACCAACAAAAAAAAAAGACAGATTCTGCACAATTCAAAACAAAAGACAAAACCAACATATGACTTAACCAAAATTTGCTATTAGTTATATCATCACAAGAGTCATAAGTAGGGTTTACGGTTTTGACTCTCAGGTATACAAAAAAATTAAAGTTGCAACTAGAGAAAGATATTAAATAACACAAGAAACAAGTAGAAACCTAGCTCTCTCATGCTTCGACCTTCTGAGCTTTGTTCCAGCGACCACCCGGGGAATCTGATCCCCTCTTACGCCCGAATCTCCCTCCTCTTCTTCCTCCCCTGCATAGGCCATGACAATTATATATGATTATTGCTTCTTCGGGTCACCCCAACAAAACTCCATTTGATTATGTTTAATAACAAAAACATGAACTCACCTTCCTCCACGGCCACCCTTGTCAAACCGATCTTTGCTGCGAAGGAGCGTCCAATACTCTTTCTCAGCTTCGCCTGGCATCGCAATTAAAACAAGTAAACATTTCACTCAGGCAGAACAAGTATATACTTAGATAAAGATAAGATGGAAGTTGAAAATGTGGTTTTACCAGTCACAGGTTCTAGGACAGCAATAAAATTCTTCACGGCCAGTCCACCTTCTTTGGCTAATACTGCTGCTGCACGGGCTTTCTGGGATGCTTCAGGTTCATCAAACCTAAGGTAACCAGTCTCAGATCCCATCTTGAAATCCACAAACTTCACAGCAAAAAGAACAAAGGAATCAATATCAACAATGGGTTATTAAACAACAAAACGTTATTCTGACAAAAAAAACAACAACAAAATGTTATATGAGATACAGCTAAATAGAACTGATTTAGTACCTTGACATCACCAAATTTTCCAAAAACAGCCTTGAGATCTTCCCGTAAGACAACTTCCTTATTATCTTTATGGGTAGCTAGAGCACCTTTTTCTTCTTTCTCATCATCTTCATCATCTGCTCCCTGGGCCTGAACCTCGTCAGTGTTTTCTTTATCCGCATCAGGAGTATCTGCTGGCTTTGATTCATTTTCTCCCATTGTCTTATCGGTTTGCTCCTCAGAACCTTTTTGTTCTGTGGTACCCTCTTCATCTGAACGCTTGAGGGTGAATGATATGATTAAACCCTTGGGATAACTATCATATGATTAAATAACCACAATCAGATCAAGAGAAAATTTAGCAAGAAAAGACACGAAAAATAATAGCAACAGTCAAACCCCTACTCTGGCTCATAATCAGAATTGGTTTTGTGATCAGAACCATTCTTCTGCTTTGCAGAACCTTTTTGTGATTGGTAATTAGCAAACTTGACTTCATCCTTCTCCCTATCATCATCAAAATCATTCCTGAAAAGATTTCATCTATAAGTTATTCATCCAAAAAATCAATAGAAAGAACTGTAAAATGAGAAACAGTCAGCAAACAGGACATATTATGTTTCAAGTAGAATTACTTTGGTTTCAGCTCCAACTCCTGACCAGCAAAGACCAAATTTTGCTTCATAACATTCTGGGCATCCTCTTCTGTAGGGAACTCAACCAAGGCAACACCAGAAAATACCCTCGATTCTGCCACATGACGAGGCATCCTCACACTGTTAACCTGAAAGAGAAAAATAAATACATATATTACGCCATGGTAACATCACTTAATCTAACTGTTAATGTATTGGTAAAATTTTGAGTAATAGCGAAACACTAATAGTGTAGTCTATAATGGAATACCTTTCCATATTGACTGAAAAAGGATTCCACGTCTTCCCTCTTAACATCATAGGAGAAAGGTGACGCAGCTACTGTTCTAGCATTTAGCTGCTCAATCAAGTCTTCCAGCTTCAACAGCTGAGTACTCCTACCAACCTTTTTCCCTTTGTAAGAAAAAGAAGAAAAAAAGGTGATCACTAAACTGTAAAAGATTTCTCCCCTAACTGAGTACCATTAAATTAACAAACTTATAAACACTCCGAATACAAAAACAAATCTCAATGTAGCTAACACTTTTGCTTGTCCGATTAAAAGGATTAATGTTAAAGTACACAAGCCCTTCATCTATAATTGAGACTCTCAACTAACTATATATCTGCTAAGATTTCACTACCTCATCTGAATCAACTAAAGGAATTGTTGAACTATATCCAATAACACCATAAACAAGAAGCCAATAGAAATATAATTCCATCAATTTGTAACAAAAACTCACCATCCTCTGAAATCTTGAGAGCAGAAGAGGTTCGAAGAGTATCAGCAACAGCTTTAATGGTGTCTTCAGGAATATCATCTCCTTTGGAATCACCGAGCTTCAAATATCCTCTCATCTTACTGAATGAGCAAATCAAGGCCAAGCTAACCACTGTTTGACCAAACCAAAAAAAAAATATCACTTAGCACAATAACAATTAAAAAAAAACACACAGCAATTGAATTGTTTAAGAGTAAGAAAACTTTACAGCCATCTTCACTCTCTGTGACCGTCTTCTTGAGGAAATCATCAATGGGGAGATTGCTATCACTAAAGTAGAACTCCACCTGAACAATAATCGAATACACAACATTATTGGAAAAGAACTGGTGAAGCAATAGAGAGACTAGACAGAAGAAGAAGAAGACAAGTTTTGTACCTGGCGCAGAACCGTTTTGGCTGTCTCTTCTGCTAGACAAGGAATCGACATCTTTGCTCACCGGCGAGAGACACAGAGAGAGAGAGAGGAGGAAGAGAGAAGAAGAAAATAGAGGAAGGGTACTAGGGTTTATGGTCACATACAGTTTCCATTTTCTTCTAAGTATTATTCGAGTCAATTTGTCCTTTTTTCCTCTTTTTTTTTAAATATAATTTGATAGATTAAATTTACTTTCGTAATAACCCTATAACTTATATTCTATGTAATTTACCACCCGCTATGCTTTAGAATTTTGTAAATTGTACCCCAAATAATCCAATACTATCTAATTTACCCCCGGTATGCTTCAAATTTAGGCAAACTTTACTTCTTCTCGTAGGATGTTGATCAAAAATTTGATGGTTTGTTACCACTGTTCAAGTGTTAAAATAAAAAATTAATATATATATATATAAATCTAAGGTTACAATATGAAACATGCAGTTGAACATCTACAAATTAAGAAACTCTCGTAACTTACTTATTTTTGTAGTAGAAAATATATATATATGGACGTGGTTAATTAATTAAGGACTAAAGAATTACAATTGAAAGGAGATTATTTTGGAGTACAGTGAGATTTACATTCGCAGTAGTGTTTGTACTTGTTGTGTAACATGACAACGTTATTGCATGTGCAACTAAGAAACTTTTTTTTAGTTTGATCCGTCATGTATCTCATGCACAGCTTTTCTCCGTCATGGCTACATTTACCATCCAAGTCTCCTATCGTTGTACACAGCTTCTCTGCTTCCACTTTTATTCATTAATTTTATCAACCACACAATTAAAAATCGTTAACCCGTTATATATAGTTAAAGATCATTTAGATAACTAAATATCATTCGAGTAATATATACAAGAAACGCTAGCTAATATATACTAATACCTTTACCACCTCTTAGAACGAGAAGCATGATAGTATAAGAAACTATGAACCAAGTAACAGATCTCATGACTAAAAAAACTGATAATTAAAAAAGATTATCTCGATGGTTGCATGCAGCAAAACAATTATTGTTAATGTGTTTGCCTCTCGAAATCTCTCTTCTTTATCAACAACAAATGCATGATTAATATATTCGAGATGCAGTAAAAATAGATGCATATATCTTTTTTTAGAATATTATGCTTTGGAAGATTCAACGATTTCAACATAATTAACGAGTTTGACGGATCAACTATTTACTTTTAGAATATACATACTTTTTTAAAACATCCACTTCCCTATTAATATTTTTCACTTTTTTAGTTGGTCCAAAAATATATATATATATATATATATATATATTTCACTTTTATTTTATTTTAGTAGTAAAGATATAAAAGTAGGGGGAAAAAAAAAAAGAAGACAAAACGCAACATTACTAAAAGTACTATGTATAACCAAATCAATCCCATAAAAAAAAAAAGGAAACACGACGATGTTCATTTCTATTTCCAGAAAAAAAAATGAAATCTCATCAGCGCGTGAACAACCCTTTGGAAAATCCAGAACGATGCTAAAACGAGACCACCGATAGGCAATTGGGCATTCGGGGTTGGGTACCGGTTCAGTACTTTCGGATAATTCTGCCACGTCACCGTCGTTTCCCTCAACATTTATTTCCCTTTCCATTGATCCAATCTGCCTCGAATCATTTTAGGGAGCTTTCAGTCTCATCCATCGTCGATTTTCACTAAATCAAAAAGCTTCTTCTTCTTCTTCAGTGACTCTCTTTTGTTTGAGTTGATGTGGCAAAAAGAAGAAAACCAAAAATGGTTCGTTTCTCCTTGTGTTTATTCTTTCTCCTTCTTTTGCTATCGGCTGGAGAAATTTCATCGCAGTTGGGTTCTGGTCCACGTATCCTTGATCTTAAAACACTAATACCTCCGAAGATGAAGAATCCAGTTGGCTTTAAATGGTACATTACCCAAACCAATTTCTCTTCTTATCTTAATCATTATAAGCTCAGCTCAGATATTTGCTAAACTGTGAATAGAATGAGCTTCATCGAGGCACTCTTAGCTTTCTCTTTTCCTTAACTGGGTTCTTTTGTATGTATTAGAGAGATTCGTAGTCTATTAGACCATGATGATCAAGGAATGCTTAATTTCTGATATCGTTTTTACTGCTGAATTCTATCAGGATTCTGCGGCAATGACACATTCTGTTTTCTTACCCATTTTTTTTTGAATTCTTTGTTCAGTTTGCAAATCTGTGTAATCTAAGTGATTAGGGTTCTAATTTGCAGGTCATGGGATCATCATGATAGTCATCGCGCGTGTGTGAAATCGATTGCCTCGTATAGTGGGAGAAAGGAGACTGCATTTTATGCCACTGATATACAGACCAGGATCATGATCTGCTGCACGGTGTTCTTTGGCATCTTCTCACGGATCAAGCTTGATCTTAATGGACTTTCCATGCTTAGAGTCCGCGCTTTTGATAATGAAGGTTAGTAATTCTCAATAGTTTTTTCTTCGTTCCTTACATGACAATTGGATTTTAGTTTAGCATCGACATTCTCAGGAGTTACATATGTCTACAGCCTAATGTTTTTATATGATAATCTATCTGCAGAGAACGAGTTCCGCTCTCTGGTGGGTCTACAACTCATCTGGAAGCTGATGCCTGGTAGTGGAGGATCAACACAGCACCTTGCTCATGTTCCTTTGAAGGAATCTCCGTTGACTGACTGTGGAGGATTCTGTGCCCACTTGGATATCCAGAAAAAGCTTGAAGACGGTGTATGTATATATTTTGAGTGTGAATTACTGAGTCTAAAAGTTTCATGGCTTAGCGATCTAAGGTGACATTGTAAAATGCAGGGGGTATTTTCAGATTTGTTTGTGGTGAAGGGAACCGGAATTGGACATGAGAAGGTTTCTGTTCATCTGCTTGATGCTCCTCTTACCCATATAACCGATGAAATAGTAGTTGCCGTAGCAGAGGTCATGTCTCTTGAACTATTTTCAGCAGTCTACGTCCTTGTGGGAGCTTCTTTTGGCTACACTCTAAATGTCATCCGTGGGAATGTTCCTCAAGGTTTGTCTGCAGCTTAGTTATTCGATAATCTTGTATTTTAAAACTCTGGTTGTTTGATACTTATGTAAAAATGAAGAAAATGTGTTGGGCATCTTTTGTAAATTGTCATACTAAGCTGGCAGGACTATTCTTTTTAGGATGTTTCAGAGGTGTTCATTACTTGATTCAGATTCTTCTGTATGCTTGTAATTGTAGCTTGAATGTGACATACTATGTTATGTTGCTTATCAATCTCTTTCTTGATTTGTTCATTGTTTGTTCATTTGCAGCCGTGCATCTACCGTCATTACATCACAGATGGTCTGTGTTAAACTCCTCTGTAGCTCAAGTGGGTTCTTTGATAGATCTGACTAAAGCATTAAGCTTGTGGAAAACAACAGTTATTCTTGAGGACACCAGGGTCGCTGGCCACTTTCAAACACCATCTATCAATGTTGTCACTCCAGATACCTTCATCTTACAGGTATGGATTATGGAATACTTATTGTAGTAGCTTTATTCGTTACTTCCACATTTTTTCATCATGCTTAAGGCTCCAGTTAGATTTCCCTTCAGTTTTCTGAATTGCCCTTGTTAATATCCAGAAACTGTTCTTATTTCTGTAAATTGGTTGAATATGCAGTTGGTTTCCGCACTACGAGTCATACCAGAGTTCAACCTGGTCTTTTCCAATCCTAACACGAAGGTAAATACTACCCATTAGCAAGTGTTTCCCCATAAAAACTGGAAAAAGATAGATTGATAGGTTGATGCATACATTGGAAGCATGGATGGTTTGCAATGAGTATCTGCAATTATGAATGAACAAAACTAGGTCTGTAGTAATAATTCAATATTTTTTCACCCAAAGGTAAATTTTTCAGTGACTGGAGGGAGCTGTTTGTGGGGTTTTGTTGTAAATAGTTCTCGTGTAGCAGAAGGTATGATATTCAATATTTTTTCACCCAAAGGTAAATTTTTCAGTGACTGGAGGGAGCTGTTTGTGGGGTTTTGTTGTAAATAGTTCTCGTGTAGCAGAAGGTATGATATTCGATATTGGCTAATATCACAGGTGTTTTCTTTTATCAGGTTTCAGTTGGGGCTTATATCTGTCCTCAAAACCCGGTCATTCACACTGGAACTTTGTTAAATTTCAGCATAGTAGGTAAAATTTCAAATCAAATCTACATGATAAAGGCCTTTTAATGGGGTGAATCATCAAGAAATTAAGTTCTTTTTGTAAAATTAAGACACTTGCAATAAATTTAGGGGTGGATCATCAAGTATCTGGTAAACGGGTTACGTCAAACAGAAGTAACCTATCCGTCAATGTGGCATTGACATCTGGCCAAGCTAAAACGATCAGCCAAGGCTCAGCTCACGGTAATATTACTATCTTTTCATGCTTTTTCTTGGGCATTAGTTCTATAGGATATTCTTTATCTTGCTACTGATCTATGTCGCATCTGCACAATTTTATTTGAAGGTCATCGTTTAAAAATGCAAACAAAACTCACACTGCTACTTGGAAACACCATATTTGTTGGCTCTCCGAGAGAAACGATAACAAATGTCCACGCACCTGCAGAAGGATATGACTTTCCAGTGAAATTCAGGTCCGTGATCTCTTAGTGTTGCATTGTAAACACATATGCAACAAATTATTCACTGATGATGATAATTTACTGATATGACTGCAACAGGGAGAACAGGTTTGTAGTCTCTGAAAATGGAAACAAAGCCACTTTTAACTGCCAAGTAGACCCTTCGTTTATAGGGTATTGATGCATACTTCAATTATACTTTCTTGCAGTGAATTTATGTGTGTATATATTTATAAATGCTATTTTTCTTTGACTCTTATTTAAGATACGCAAAGCCATGGACGGATATTGATAGTGGGAGCACTTTTTGCCTTTTCTTCCCATACTCACCAAAGTATCTGGTTCACTCCATGTCTATAGCAGAATACATGAAACCCTATGTGTCTTTCTCCGTTATTGCTTCACTCAATGAAGCGCATCAAGTTTCGGGATCTGCATCTGCACTTCTCATTGGAGGGTTTTCTGTAAAAGGACCAAGCAAGGTAAGTTTCTTCGTTAAGCAATGTCTACATTTTCAGGATATGTGCTTTATGCGAGTCAGTTGGAAATATTCTTGCAGCTATATATAAACCCGGATTCAAACACAAACATCATTTTAATACTGGGGAACACTGGTAAATCTCGTATATCCACTGTTAGTTCGTTTTTTTCTTCGTTCTGTTATGAAAAATTGCAAAAAACGTACTTAATATTGCTCATTGCAGATGTTCAAATTGACTGGGACAACAAAGGTAAGTTATCGATCAGCTTGATCAAAAGAGAAGATTATGGTATCGCAGGGTATGCTATGTACAAGGTGATTTCTCACTTAAACCCTCTTCAGGATCCTTACCATACTAGTAAAACAGTTAAGTATATTCATCAACCTTTTTCAGGTGAATGTGTTAACATCAAAGCAATTCACAGAAAGAATCTGCATCACTCTCCCTGCTACTGGTGAGCTACTTCTAATTACACTGATTATAGACTAGGCTATGGAACTTCAACTTATCATGTGATAAATGTTTTGCACAAACCAAAGCAAAGAAATTGTTGTCTCCTTTGACACAGGCGAAACCTTAGTAGCTTCATCTAAAGATCGGTACTCTGATTTGTTTGAGATACTATGGGTTGTTTTGGGGTCGAGTCTTTACGTGATCATCTTAATTAAAGTGATAAAGAAACTACGTCCAAATGATCCAACAAAAGCTTCAAGAACTGCGACAAACGATGGAGCTACAGCAGCAGGAACACCATATAGAAGAGGTGGTGTGGTTACATATCATGTAGAATCTCCAAAGCTTAATTTAATGGGTATGCGTGTAAAATAGTTGATAAAACTTCTTAGAGAAGTAAGATGATGATGATGATTTTGTTGTCAGTTGGGAACTTTGGTCATTAGAGATTAGAACATCGATCTTTTTTTTTTTTTTGTAAACAACCAAACCCAAGGCAATCAATGTTTATATCATTTGTGCATTGTCGTCAAAGGACAAAGGAACAAAGGATCTGTAATTGGTCTGACTATTCGATGTAATGTGATTTTGACGAATATCAAAACCGATGTTTCCAAAAGGTAACCAGGGAAGAGTTATTATGTGGTGCTGATTTATAAGCTACTCTCTTATTCTCAAATTGTGCTATTTATTAATTAGTGAGAAATTAAAGAAAAGATTTTAGATAAGAGAGTGGAAATGTAAAGTTTGATGTTCAATACAGTGCTGCTACAGTTTCTTTCAAAGCATAAACCATAGCTCTCTCCCTCTTGATAGCTCCTTTTTGATGTTCACACTCACTCGACGATTGCAAGCTTTCTTTGGAATGTCTTTTAAAGCAGCGAAAAGGTCATCTTGCTCCCAATTGGACCAGTTGCAGCGTCATTTATGGGTTTATCACTGAACGAACTGTTCAAAGCAAACAAACAAGGACATCAAAACATAAATTCTAGTTTCAAACAGTTTTTTATGTAAGCAAAACACTGCCAACAAGTTGAAGAAAGAAGTACGCTTTATAAGAGGATATCTAGAATATTTACCCAATATAGACACGGGAAACCTCAGGAGTATTGAGAACTTTCCCAAGCGACCACATGAGAGCTCCATATACCCCCATTAGCTATACAAGATACAGAGACAGACGTGTCAATATATTAGGACATGGAAAACAATCAAAGAAGTGAAAGGAAAAGGGGAAATAAGACTCGATAATCGATTGAGGTGTCAACCTGCTGAGTGTCCACTTGGTCAGCCTTATTCAGAACTACGCGGATCTTGTCATCATGACCGCGTAAAGATGAAATTACAGGCTTGAAATCATCACTTACATCCAGCTTATGTGGGTCAAATAGGAGGAGGATGAGATCACACTTAGAGGCAAACCATGACGTGACACCAGTTATAATTCATAAGCTTGCTGTGTCCTTTTCTTTTCACCTGATAAAACTCCTGGGGGTATCAACAAATGTTGCATGCTCCACCAGCTTAAACAAAGATGAATAGATAAACAATTATCAGCAAATCGATACAAGAAAAAGCAATGAACATTCTGTAGAAGTATAAGGTTACACATACAAGGTGAGGCATCAAAGAGCATTCAAACTTTGACAAAAAGGCAGTCCCAAAAGTTGTAATACCACTAAATGTCATATCTGCTTGAACCGCTACTGTGTTCCTCGGAATGCTTCTTTCATCAGGTCCAGACTGGGAAACAAACAGGTAGAAGTAACCCTTTATGAGAGGTGGAAATGAAATAATCTACCAACCATTGTCAACCACACAATCAAAACTTCAAATATTTAGCAGAAGATGATAGATCAATGTTTGAAACGACTAATACATCATCCCACAAATGAAAGTCTTGGATAATTACAAATTAACATACCATGACAACAACAAATCTGTCAGTAGTCGGTTCTGGTCCAATATGAGCTCCTGAAATATATCAAACTGAAGTTATATGAAGCTGTTTTATGGGTAATCAGTGAGCTGTTTGCATCTCCATTTTAGACATCGAAACCAGTTAGGTCCCAGAAGGAGGGAAGAGAGGATAAGATGAATATTTGCATCTCCATTTTAGACATCTGCCGTCAGTATTCATAATAATAAATAATGCGTAAGAAAAAGGAAAAAAAAAAATCAAAATTGTCTTTTCGGACGTGTAAGAGAGTTTGTTTTGTTTAAAGAAAATTTTTCTAGTACAACACAAGAGTTAGATATAAGAAAGAAATACAATTATCCGGTTTTCAAACAAAAAAAGAAATACAATTATCCGGGATTAGTAGTGGAACAAGAACTGAATTTGTACAATTATCGTTATTGTAAAAAACAGAAAAAATATTAGTATATAGCAAATTAAAAATAGATCCTCAGAAAAGACCAGTGAGTCAAAGTATAGATTATCAGACTTAGTGAATATATATATTTTTTTAATTGCATGTTCCTCACCTGTCAATGTGTCAATTGGCTAACCTTTTCTTTTGGTTGGCTTCTTCATCGACTAATCACTGAATTAGTAATTTCCGAATTCCGATACTTTTTAACTTTTCGCAGATATTTCATTTATATATATATATATATATATGTAAATATTATACTGTTGTGTGTAGCTATAGAATTCACAGGGGTTATATATAATTAACAGTGATATTATAAAAGTTCTCCTATATATATACTATATATACTTTGATACTTTGATTAAGGTATATATGGACCACGATCGAGGAGAGTTATTAGAAACTTAGAATCGAGATAAATACTCACGATCCGACGAACCGTACCGTACATTCCCCTGTTGTATACATTTCTAGATTAATAATTATCTTCATATAAAAATGAATTAACGGAAACTAATACTTGGATCATGACAATGTGGAACAGTTGAACGTGGAAGATAGATTTATTGACTTGCAAAAAATGATTAACTGATAACTTTATTAAGTATTTTTATTTATATATATGATGAAAGACAAAAAAAAAAGAAAAAATGTGAATAACATAACTTGGATTGAGTAAATAATACTAGTAAAAAAAACGATGATGATGATATCGATGATGGTTGATGGAGTTGTACACGTAGTTTCAAGTACTTGAGCATTGATGTTTACAGTCGCAAAAGCGTTTGGTCTTGCGATACATGTAAAGGTTAGTACATGTGCAGCTAACATGTCTTTCTTTCTTATATTTATTCCTCATGAACTTCAAGCACTCCTTCTCTCCCTCAATGTCGCAATTCCCATCTATGTCTTCTATTCTATTACACAGTCCCTCAGCTTCCACTTCTGTGATTTTATATACATATATCAACCGCAAAAATAATTAATTGTTAGTTTTTTTTATTAGTTCAAGACAGTTACTACATATATATATATATTTGATATATAGTGCATGATCTTTAGAACACTACTGTTTTCCCAACATTAATGTTTTTGCGATTCATAACAATGGATGATTTTATAAATTCCTTAAAGCAAGGAAACAAAATCAAAGTATATATAGTATTTACCTTTACAAGCGCTCAGAACGAGAAAAACAAGAACATAAGAAACTATGAAACAGGTAGCAAATTTCATGATTAAAAAAGTTGTTGATAACAATCTCTTATCTCTAGTGTTAAAAAAAAAAAAAAACAATCTCTTATCTCTCTATTACTCTTAGCAGAACTTCGTTTATCTTACTGATCTCATTACAAGTATTCTCGTCATACATATAATTAAGTACAGTAAAAATAGATAAGGCTATTTTTAGAAAATGTGGGCTTTGTATGTATAATTCAACGAGTCAAGTAAACGAGTTTCACGGGATCAGTTTTTATTTATAGAAAGTTCTCCTTCGATGTCTAGCCACTTGTATCGAGAAAATAAAAAAAACATTGGCTTGCTGCAACTTAGAGATTGAAAATTAAAACTCCAAATCGGAGAAGAAAACAAAATATATATTAAACAAATTAGAAGAAAATTATACAAAAATGACCCCCAACTGAACACAAGTTAAGTTTTCTCGCTGTGTGTAACAACATACAGTATATATGACAACGTAATGCAACGTCTAAAGAAAGGTTTAAACAAGCTAAAGGTATCCTTAGAGAATTATGGAGATGGGCAAAATCAACCTTTTTCAATTGAACTAATTAATTAAACAAAACATATGTAATGCAAAAAAAAAAAAAAAGGAATATTACTGTATCTATTATGTAGAGAAAATATATAATTCGGTAGCTCAAATCGAAGCGACATCATTTAAGAATGTAAAATTGTAAATGATGATGGATGGGCTCAGAAAGGCCTATGGAACATCATTGACAATAAGCCCATCTCGCCCATTGTCATAGTTGACCAAAGATAAAAAAAAAGGAACAATTTGTTTTCATTTTTGCACATCTTCTTCTTCTTCTTCTTCTTCTTCTTCTTCGTCGTCTCGACCAGATCTCAGTTTCTTTTCGTTTTGAAAACTAATCAGCAATGACTCAAATTCTCAGAAACGTCTTTACAGTTCCGGTGGAGGGGGTACTTTTAACATATGTCTTCCACCGCTCCCTTCAGCAGCTTCCCTGCGGCGAGTTTCGTTCTACCACCACATCTAAGTCGATTTCTCCGGATCCGGTGGAAACCTCTGTCGCCACATTTAAGGTGTACTGTAGCCTCTGTAGGGTGCGTTCGCAGGTGATCGTAGCCTCTATAGGGCGCGTCGCAGGTGATCGCACCTCCTCATCATGCTACGCTGTTGAAAACCGTTAACAGAACAAAATGTGTTCTATCTAATCGCACTCCCTCTTAGACGGTTAGATATCATTTCATTTTCCTTCTTTCCCATTTTTCTCCCTCTCTCTTTCTCTCTCTCAAGATTTCACTCTCATCAGCAATGGCGGAGAAAAAACCTTGGGCTCATTTGGACGATGCCATCAACGATTTCTGGAAATCTTTTTCTGGAGCTACGGATGATACAAATCTGAGTCTCTTCTCCAAGGATTACACTGACGAACGCATTCCTGAGAGGTGCGTTCTCGATTACTCTTTTCTTTCTTTTACTTCATCATCTCTGGAAAATTTGATGCGTAGTTTCTCGGAAAATGTTTCTCCGTTGTTTGATCTGTGGTTAACGATCGGTATTTACTCCATCGTTTTATGTGTAGTTTACTTGACAATGTGATTCGCAATTTCCCGGAATATATTCCTCCGTCGTTTGAACTGTGGTTACCGATTGGTTTTTACTCCGTCGTTTTATGTGTGGTTTCTTGGAAAATCGTCCTCCGTCGCTTGAACTGTGGTTACCGATTTGTTTTTACTCCATCGTTCTATGCGTAGTCCTGGAAAATTTTGCTCTGATCTGTGGTTACCAATTGGTTTTGACTCTATATAATGATCTGTAGTTTCCTGGAAAAATTCCGTGTCAAATTGGTAGAGGCAAAGTGGACTCTCAGCGAAGATCCAGGCTGCAAGGTGATTAGATTTCATCTGATTTGACATCTTTCACTGTTCATCTTTTTGAATCACTGTTCTTCTTCTACTCGGATTTCGTGTGAATTTCTTCTTATCCTTACATCTTTCTTTCTTTTTTCATTGTTAATGACACCAGATCCCAAAAGATCTGATGGATGAGGTGTTTCAGGCTACTAAAAAAAAAATGATGAGAAAGGTAAGCAAACAGAATAAGAAGAAACTCGCAGAAGCTGAGAAGAAGGGAGAAATTGCAGAGAATGAAGAAATTGCAGAGAAGGAAGAAGTTGTCTCTACCCTCACAGAAGAAGAAATGAAGAAGAATCTGGACTCTATGTTGCAGAAAAATGAAGAGCGTGAAAAGACTAAGATGATAAAACGTGGAGAGAAAGCTGTTAAGAACAGTGGCAAGACTATGGAGAAGAAAATGGCATCTCAAGAGCTCAGCATGAAGCACCAACTCAGGGGATACGATAAACTGATTTGGAAGTCTTGGTGGGATTGAGATAATTGATGAACATGAATATGAACTCTTGGTGGGATTGAGATAATTGATGAACATGAATATGAACTCTTGGTGGGATTGATGCTCTCTGTTGATAATTGATGAACATGAACATGAACTCTTGGTGGGATTGATATGCTCCCTGTTGATAAATAATGAACCTGAAGTTTATTAGTATGATTTGTGATGATATTTGAAACAAAGAGTGTTAAAAGGATTTCTTTGGATATTTGATGTTTCTCGGATATCTGTTATTACTAGCTTTTCAATTCATGATGCTTTTGGTTAATTTTCATGATGCTTTTGGTTATTATAATTTTTTTTTTTCTTACATTACAAAATGTTCAACTTTCAATTATAATTGTCCCAAAAAAAAAAAACCCTTAAAATTTGAAACAACATCTACTAACAGCCGAACACAAAACCTTTTTCTTCTATTTAAAAATTATCAGAAAAATAAGTCAAAACTCAAAACCTCTATTTTTATATATATTTATGGAACCTAATTAGATTTTCTTGTATCTATCTAATAAGGGAAGTATATCTTTGGTTTCATATATATATATATATATATATAATGTTTTTGTTAGATAAGTCCGACCTATAGGTGTGAATCTTCTCCCTAGGGTTTTGCCTCGTGAAGATGCCAGAAGCCAAAATAGAAGAAACAGTTTGTGAAGACAGGATCAGCGCTTTACCCGAAGATTTGCTTGTGACGATACTGTTGCTTGTCCCGATTAGAGATGCAGTAGCCACCATGCTTTTGTCTAAACGTTGGCGCTTTATCTGGATGATGTTGCCTAGACTTGATTACAAAGAAAGCAGCGATAATGATAATGATCCGAGCAAGAAGAGCATTTGGTGGTTTTTTGATAAGTCAATGGAACTCCACAAAGCACCTATCTTAGAAGTCTTGCTTATCAAACTTGGTCCAGGATGTCCTAGTGATGCTGACGTCGGTAAGTGGCTTACAAAAGCTGTTGATCGCCAAGTGGGTGTTCTAAAATTCGAGCTTTGTTGGTCTACAGGTCCAACTAGATTACCCAAGAGCCTTTACACCTGCGAGACACTCAAGGAACTTACTCTCTCTCACAATATTCTTGTGGATTTCCCTTCTTTTGCTTGCCTCCCGTCCCTTTCAACTCTTGAACTTTTCTATGTGGTGTATAAAGACGAGGCTTCTCTTTTTAGATTCTTATCGAGCTGCCCTGTTCTTGACCTTTTGGACGTGAAACGAAATACCAAACATCATGACAATGTCAACAAATTTAGTGTGAAAGTACCTTCTTTACAGTTCTTCTGGTATGAAAATTGCGATTATACATCACTTCCCGATACTGCTAGGTGTTTGACTATCGATACTCCGGCACTAATAGACTTCATAATCGCTGATTATTCAAGAGACTCTTGGTCCTTCGAGAATATTCCTTGTCTTGAGAAGGCATTTTTCGATGTTAGGTCTTTCCCGGATATTGACAAGTCCAAAACATCTATTTCCGGGGTCTTGTCCCTTACGTTGTTTATGATGACCAATGAAGCTGTAGCTCTCTAACTCTTTATCTATCTTACAAGCTTGTTCGTTTCGATTACGTACAGTGTCCATCGCATCTAACTAACTAATTACGTTTCTGTTTGTTTCATTGCAGCTTGTGCGTTGTAGCACCATCAACTTCTCTCGACTTATAAAGTTAACTATATATCCGCATAATTCAGACTGGTTGGAACCACTCTTACCCTTACTTGAAAATGCTCCAAACCTTAAAGATCTTTTGGTAACTTATGTACGTGTATATATATATATACTCTCTTCTTCGATCGTCTGGCTTTTATAGACTAAAATACTAGTCAGGACTTGTTTTAAATATATAACTATCATTTCTTCTCAGGAATGTACCGTTTGGCCCCGGGATCGGATCCCACTTTCATGGAACCAACCGTGTTCTGTTCCTCGATGCATGTTGTCACATCTCGAGATATTTGAGTACAGAAAATATGGAGCCAGAGAAGAAGAGGAAGAATTCTTGACATATATCTTTGCCAACTCCAAGTGTTTAAAGACTGTGACAATCTCGGTGAAACCCAGCTCCGTTCTTGGAAAGAAAGAGTTGATCATTGAGGAGTTGAGAAATATTCCTAGGGTTTCAACATCTCAACTTTTGTTATTTTAATGGGCAAGCTTAGCTTTTATCACGGACCCCTGAATATAATGTGAAAAGCTGCTATTACTGTATCTATTAGCAAAATATATTCTTCTCTTAACCACCTTGCAAGATTAGAACGTAAAAGTAATTAATATAATTAATAAAGCTGGAGTGCTAGACAAGGTTTGCAGTACCGAGCCAAGTTTAGGATTTATATCATTGAGTTAAAACGGGAAACAGGAGAAATAGAAGTTAAATTTCAGAATAATTAAACTTGTGCCCCAATATTACAACAAATTTGTACATAAACGATCACCAAATGAACACAAGCAGTGTTCTTTATAACCCTTAGCTACAAATGAATGAAGTAGCCTAATTTCTTACCACTTTTTTTGTTAACCCCTGATGATTGTATCCTAATAAGCCAATAATTTTGGTGAAACTTACCCGATGGAACCTTAACTAAGTACTCACATGTTGTTCACTGCTCGACTGAGATGGGTTGATTCCATATTCTGAAGTGTAACCATCGCTTGAACCAGTGTCGAATCTTCTCTTACTTGTTCCGTAACGTGGTGTGATGTCATTCGGGTTTTCAGAAGAGCTATATGTCCTGCTATTCCCTGTCTCGTCGACTTTTCTTAAGGCCACTTCACCTTCAAGAGCACGTACTACCTATTCAAGTTTTTTCGTGATACAAATATATCCATGAATTAGGCTTGTTCATTTCAGATATATAGAAAAATACAGGTGTTTAAACTACTCTCAAACCTGGCTCATTCGGGGACGAAGCCAAGCTGATTGGCGAATGCAAGCAGCAGCACAAGCAGCCATGTTTGCCATCTGAGTGGTGTCATAATTCATTTCCAGCCTCTGGTCTACGACAAGGTCAAAATTTTCTCCAGAAATCGCTTTTGCAAGCAATGGCCTCGCCTAAGGATATAAAAAAAAATAACAATCTAATGAAGTTTCAAGCTTGCAGTTACTGGGAAGTATACTTCTCCAAAAAAAATCTGATGGTACATCATCATGTATGTTGACTTACCCAATCAACTAAACTCTGGTTTGTGGTAGGATCTTTGGCAAAAATTGATGGACGTCCAGTGATGAGTTCTAGAAGCACGACCCCAAATGAATATACATCTGATTTATCAGTTACTTTCCCACTAGACGCGTACTCTGGAGCCATATATCTGTTTCAATGGTGCACAAGACGTTAGTGATCACTGATTAATAAATCTGTTCATCTTGAATTTACCATACAAGAAGGAAGAAACTTGAAACGGTAAAGTATTATCTAAGATGACATAACACATCAACCATGGATGATGTTTTACCCGAAAGTTCCTACCACTCGAGTAGAGATATGAGTGAATGATGAATTGGTGTCTGAAAAAAACTTGGCTAGTCCAAAGTCAGAGACCTGAAAGAAGCAAAACAGAACAGGAACTCTAAGCTACATGTAATTTTGTTAAAAATGACAAAAAAAGTCGGATTCAATAAACGTCACTGAGAAATTTCTGGTGGGATTTTATCCTGAGAACCATTCTTAATAATGATAAGATTAAAGAGTAGATCACCTTTGCCTCATATTTGGAATCTAGAAGGATATTAGCTGCTTTGATATCACGGTGAATTATAGTTGGACTGCCTGCATTTCAAGCACGAGAAATCAATATGAGTGTCGAAAACCGATAAAAAAGAAAAGCCATTTTCATTCCCATTTAAGGAGATAACACTCACAATCCTCATGAAGATACGCTAATCCTTTTGCTGCTCCTACAGCAATCCTGAGCCTCATTTCCCACTCCAACACAGTTCCTCTGTTTCCTACAACACATATTCCCACAATACTCAACATAATGATTCTAAAGACAATATCAAATCCTTAAAGGGGTCATAATATATATATATATATACCATGTAAGTGGAACTCCAACGTATCTTTAGGAACAAACTCGTAAACCAAGAGTCTTTTATCCCCATTAACGCAATAACCAACCAACGAAACGAGGTGCTTATGATGAACCCTACTGATTGTGTCAACCTCAGCTTGGAATTCTCTTTCCCCTTGAAAGATCCCAATCTTCAACTGCTTCACCGCAACTTCTACCCCGTTTTTCAGCATCCCTTTGTGAACGTAACCGAAACCGCCTTCTCCCAAAAGATTCGCCTCAGAAAACCCATCGGTTGCCTCTGAAAGTTCTTCATAGGTGAACATTCCAGATGGCATTGAAACATCATTGTTCTCCTTTGTACCACGACTTCCACTAGATGAATATTTAGGTGGTGCAGCATGGATTGGAGGTGGCATTGTGATAATATGTGCCTGGTTTGGACCAACATTACCGCCTCGATGATGTTGAACTGATACAGTTTAAAAAGAGCCTAACATTACATAACATTTATGTGACAATCTGAAACATTAATGTTGAAATTGATCTCAAAGTTTATGTATTTAGCAGTTAGGACACTAAGCTTATGGAAAAGAAGATTCAGTTTCTTGTTTCGGAAATTCTGATGGCAAATGATTTGAATACATAATATATACCTTTTGATGGAGTTTTGGATTGATGATGAGAAGAGTCGTTGCTGTTATTTCTATTTCTGGTAGCTCTGTAAAAGACAAAGAGAAGTCCCAACAGAACAAGTAGAAGAGCTCCAACGATTACACCACCAAATAAGAATCCGGCGGAAGAGCGGTGATACGACGTCGTCTCCGGCAGACTCTTCGGTACAAGTGGCTGTGGCGTTCCCGGAGATATTGATACGCCGGGACTTGTCTTGGGCTCTATAACGGGCCCAATAGGTGGTGCTACTGTCCCCGTTAGTGGGCCAGTAGGCCCAAAGAAAGGAAGAGTTGCAGCTGCCGGCGACTTCTTCGGCGGCGGAGTAGATGAAGAGGGGAATGGCGTCGTTGAGAGCGGTGGTTTAAGTGGAGGAGAAGTTTCCGGAAGAGACGGAGACGGTTTTGGTGGGGAAGAACTGGTGGGAGGAGTAAGCGAAGGCTTAGGGCCACGGCGACGAGGAGGAGACGGCGGTGGAGGAGAAGCCGTATTCACCGGCGGGATTGAAACGGAGGGAGGTGAAGGAGGTGGCGGGGAAATGGTTTTAACAGGCGGTGATGTCTCGGTAGGAAGCGGAGAAGGCGGAGAAGACGGTTTGGCGGGAAGGAAGGGCAATGGCGGTGAACCGGAAGGAGCTGAGGCCTGAGGAGACGGTGGAGATGGAGACTCTACCGGAAGAGACGGTGGAGACACTAGCGGAGGAGACGGTGGAGACACTACGGGAGGAGACGGTGGAGATGGAGACTCTACCGGAGGAGATACAACCGGAGGAGACGGTGGGGAAGCGGTGGGAGCAAAGAGAGGCGGTGGGGGAGGCAACGGAGGAGGAGAGGTAAATGGCGGGGAAACAGGAGACAAAGGAGGAGCTGGAGGTGATGACGTCAAAGGTAAGGAATCTGCGGGAGGCGGGGAAGTAGCCGGGGCCGGCGGGGAAGCAGGAGAGAGGAACATCAAAACGAAGGCGTTTTGGGGGGGAAGGACGCAAGATTATGATTGGGTGAGGGAAGGCTTTAACAGTTTTAGTGAGTCACAGAGGAGGAGGAGGAGGAGGAAGCAGGTAGAGGACTCTATTGGGGGCATGTGATGTAATGGTTAAGTAAGTCATATTTTGTTTTTGTCGTATAGAGCAGTGTAAGCTTCTGACGCCGAGAATGTATTATCGCTTTCTCACCTGTGATTATATATTTTGTTATTTTCAAGTGTTATAAAAAGAAAAGAAAGGAAACACAATTAGTCAGACAGCGGAGCAAATCACTCAGTCAGGCTTGCAACGCCGCTCGTGAGCAACTACTACCACCACTTCACATCCCCTTGATGATAATAAATACAATTATGCGTTTTTAGTTTTTTACTTATATCATCATCTCTTCTTCATAAGTTTTGTAAGGGGCCTTTTTTTTTTGTCCCTGGCTCCCACTAAAGAATTTCAGCAATGTTATCCTCCGGATTGATATAGATAGATTAGGTTCACGGGATGGGCCTAGTTAAGATGCTTCTAACTAGTGGCCCCTTTACAGACCTAGTCTCTCTCTCTCTCTCCACTTTTTTTTCTTTTTTTTCTTTTTCTTCCTCCAATACCCTTTTCTTGGGGTCAAACTCTAAAAAACATACCAAATTATTCAACTCTATATAAAAAAAAAGAAAATACAGAGCAGATTATGAACTCATATATTTACTCCCTTGGAACCATGACTACATATATAAAAAAAAATGGTAGGTATACTATTTACATTCAAAAAGTGAAATTACTTTGCCTAATCTTTCTACGATTTTTAGTCACTGTCAGTAAAACTTTTGAAGTTACCTCTTTTTGGTTACAACTTTACATAGACTCTTCTTACGAAGCTTGATAAGAAGAGCCGCCTGAGAACACAGCAAGAGAGTAATTCCCTTTGGAATTTTCGACTCTTATCATGTGTCATATCCATCTCCATGTCTCAAGCTTCAGGCAAGGAATGTCAAATAAGACCGTCAGATCATTTCTCTTCATCACTTCATGTACATGAATCAGAGCTTAGCATCGAGTCAAGCCATCGATGTTGGAACTTTTTTTATGCATCATAACCATCCGACGATCTTCGATTAGAAGTTAAAGACTTAATAGAAAATTTGCTCATGTCTTACTTAATCAGCCTGAAACGGTTCTAAGGAGCCCCATGTTTTCCCAACCTTTAGTTTCACATGTAGAGGGACTGATACAGAATAGGATTTATTATGTCAATACATATGTACATCACATTATAAGAAGCCTGGTATACAGTATGAGCAACATACCTACAAGTGAAACCGCATTTTCCATGCTGGTTTGTAGCAATGTTGCAGCTTCTTTTACATAAGAAGGATCAACTTCCAGCACAAGTTCGTCATGTACCTGCGTTTCAATGTCTCACAATTATAAGTGATAGAAAATATGAAAATTTTACATGCAGAAGTAAGTACGATACTGCATATTTGGAAATAAACAAAACTCAAAATAAATAAAAAGTGAAAAACTCACTTGTAGAAGAATTCGACATCGTCCCTTTAACATGTGAAACCTGCTTTCAGTTGAAGGACTAGATGTTGCGCTATCGACATCATCAGTAATTGCAGAATAGATGTTTATCATTGCAATCTTGATTATATCAGCAGCAGATCCCTGAACACAACCACAACCCGGAAAAGCAAAAATGTTTGGGACTCTTAAAACCATTAGAACCAACAAAAGAGCGGCGAAAAGGGAAGAGAACACTATTTCACTCTAAATAGATGGATTTTGTAAATAGCAGTCTACTAAACGTGAGAGGATATCACTAAGCGTTAGGGAGAAAGAAAGGAAGAAACAAAATCAAACCTGGCACATGGAATTTACAGCTTGCCTTTGAGCCTTAGATTTCTCTTTGGCATTCCCAAATTTTATTTTTGACAAGAACCGCCTTCTTCCCTTGAGAGTCTGAATATATCTGCATTTTAAAATGTTCGGCAATTATAATTTCTATACAACCCAATTAATTACTAAGCTGAAAATTCTAGTTTCAACAAGAAATAACGAAAATATAGCTAGCTTCCCTATTGATCACATAAAATAATGAGAAATATTATAGTTTCAAGGAACACATGAGACTGCATTAAAAAAAAAAAGAAGGGGAAATAGAGTGTAACATCCTCACCCTTTTTCCTGGCAAAATGAAATTGTTTCGTTTAGCCAAGAGGTGACTGCAGGGAAAGAATTTTTAAAGCTTCTAATTTTCTCCTTGGCTTCATCTGAGCTGCACTCAAGCTGTTCTGCGAGTCTATTTGCACCCATTCCGTAAAGGATTCCATAGATCAATCTTTTGGTCTGATCTCTATCATGTGGACTAACAGAATCCTTGACTTTTCCAGTCCATTTTGCAGCTATCATTGTAAAGACATCACCTTCTGGCTGGCTAAGCTGTGAAACCAACGAGGAATCTCTAGAAAAGTGTGCCATAAGTCGCAACTCTATCTGTGAATAATCTGCCGTCAAGAGTAACCAATTATCCTGTGGTGGAAAAAATCATCATTAAATTCAACTTTCAAGAAAACCAGAAACCTGTTATGGCTAGGGTGATTGAAACTACATGGCACCTAAGATGCTGTGACATACTCAACACTTTTTCCAGTAAGAGCCTGTACGTATGGTTCTACCCTACTGAGATTTTGTTGTCATCTTCATTCCTCCACACTGAATGAGCTTTATAATAAAATGATCTTGACTTAGCAACTATGCTTCCAATACCTTTCAAATGCATATGTGAAATCCCCTAAACCTCAAGTAACTAGCCCAATAACTCAGGAGGACCCAAACTACTGACCTCTCTACAATAATGCTTTGGAGGAAATAAATGCTTTCAGTCGTACAATTTTTTTTTTGAGAAATATGTTTTCTTGTTGGCTTGAAGGCCAAAGACAAAAAACTTGTAGAAATCACGTAGAAATTTTAAATTTACCTGAGTAGGAACAAAGAAATCACGTGCATTTATTTTGCAACGATCAGCATTTGAATTTACGTCCTTTCCATTTTTATCCAATAAGAACTCTACTTCATGCTCAACAGACTGCAGAAAAGTAACATGGTCATTGATTTTAAGATACATGATAGAATGAAAAAGGAAACATAGCAGAAGTCATACTTGGAGATTAGGCTCCTCTATGGAAAGCCGCCCAGTTGCTGTTGATGTTTGAAGCCAGCGGCCATGCAAAGTGTACCTTTGCGTGCTCAAGCGTAGTTTAGCAAGTGAACAAATTGATCCAAGTGTACAATTTAAGAGCTTTGCCAAAGTGCGGTGTTCTTTGATAATTGGGACAACAGGATGCTCATTCCTGGGACAAAGTTGTATTCCAATGTAGGTCAGACTAAAATAGAATCATAACAGCTGGAAGAAAATGTATTCTCGATACCATAACAACAGAATTTATATGATTTATTGTTGAAAGTACCTTGAAAAGTCTGTTATCCTTTGTGATGAAATAAAAAGAACACAATGTAAGGAAAAGCAATTGGTACTCTGAAATACCTTAAAAGATCCAAGCAGTGCTTATCAGTACTTGGATGAAGTTTCCCTTTAGATTGGTTTTCCGGTATGGGCAACTTCAACTGTCCAAACAACACATTTGCAATATCAGCTGGGTTGTGCAACGAAAATGTCATGCCAGCCAATTCAAATGCTTTCTTCTCGAGGGACCGCAGTTTATCCCGCAATATATTCCGTGCCCCAAGGCATCCTTCTATATCGACGCCTATACCCCAAAGCTCCATGTCTGCAAGGACATTAACCTGAAACACAGAATGAAAGCATTATGCTGCTGCAAAACAACAAACTTATCGGAGTTAGAAATTTCTTTAGATTGTCTGCCTAGCTCTATCACATAGGATATTCCTCAGGAAGCTGTACGGTAGCAAACACTTACCATCAAATTAAAAAAATTCTGAAAAGGAAAACCAGTCACAGATGGCTGCTCGAGAAAGTACACATAAATATTTAACTGTAAGCATATCATTTAGCGGGATGCTGGTGTAGTTTAGATAATCCTTATTCGTTAAAGCAAGTTAAAGAAGATATACCAGCGGCATTTCAGTGGTTGTCAGTGCTTCAAGAAGTTCTTCAGAAACAAGGATCTTCCAAAGAGCTGAACAAAGGGCTCTCGTTTGAGCAACCCGTCTGCAGCAGCCATTGTGGGCAACCCTTCGGATCTGATTCCTCCACCTGCCACTGCGACTAGCAGCTTCAGCTGCCTCTGGGGATAGTCTTTTCTTTACTTCCTTTAACATCACATTAACAGTTTTAGCAACTTTTCAGCAACATCTATACTGAACTACCTATAAGCTAAATTTGTAGGATGATAGAAAACCAACAAATGATAAAAGATAAAAAGATATTTAAACTTTGTTGCTTTTCTTGTTCAACACCATCATCAGGACACATATGATATATACCATATTGGTTCCAATAATAGTACATCTGGAATACCTTATCAATGTTTGGATATGAGTGTCTTTCCTCATCTGGCCAAAGAATCCATGTCACAATACTCATGTCAATGGTGTGGCTTATGCGAAGCGGAGGCAACATTAGCCAAGATCCATCAACCAACTCAAGATCCATGATCCCTTCTGCAAGATTCAGGCGAGGGCATCTTTGGATTGATATAGCAGGACTCTTAAGCACCTGAATCTGGACTTTCAAATTCCATGTGAACTTTCTCGTACTTACATTGCCCATTATTTTACTGATTCTGTTCCACCTAGATTTTATAACATCAAACATGTTGTGGGTAGCAAAAACCTCATTCTTTCCAACAACTGCATCCTCGATAAGCTTTTGTTTTTCTACACATTCCAGGTTGGGAAGATCTTTATTAAGATTGACATAGTATACGGGGGAGCTATTCCAGCAGACAGCAATTCCATGTATCTCATAAGAGATGCGGGAATTCAAATCTTGTAGTTTATTATGGTGGATATCGAAGAAAAATTCGCCAGCAGATTCCCAAAGTTCCAGGAATGAATCAAATCCGCCACTAATATTTCCTGCAGTTATTGGACCCTTTTCACCTGTACCATCCTTATTACTCAAAGGAATATGCGAATTCCTAGTCAAATGCTGATCAACATTGTCCTTAGTTTTTATCTCTCTGTCATTGTAAACAGGGATAGGGAAAATATCACTGGAAAGAATACTAACAGCATTAAGCCCATTAGTGCCGACTGTAGTTCCTATAGGTTGAAAATTAGGAAGACGTCTGTTCAAGTTAACTTCTGATGAAACCCCTAAGGTAGCACCTAATACTTTCCTTGGCTTTTCTCTGTGATTATCGGTATCAAAGTTTTCACATTCTATGTGCTCCTCTGTGCTTGATTTTCCTGGAACATGTTGTAATTCATTGGGACCAACAGAGCCTCTAGAAATGTCTTTTTCAGTAGTTTCTTGTCCACTGGGACTCCTAGCAGGAGCAGATGGCAAGGGCTTTGAAAGCTCGTGAACATCCAAACCGAGTGACTTAAAAGCAGAGAATGCAGCAGCCCTCGCCTCTTCTGCTTTCTCAAGAACAATTTTGCGTGCCCCATTCTTGATTTTCTTGGCTAATCCCAGGTGCATCCTTTTTTGTCCTGCACCTGATACACCATATTAACTCCGAGCAAATTAGATGAAAGAGAATACAATATTCTTTCTGACAAAATATTCAGCTAATCAATGTTTATTTAAGCTGTAGAGATCAATGAGGCAACAAAAATATTAATTCAAACTGTCTACGAAAACTGATGTACCTTCTGCACCCCACGCTGAAGATTCAAAGAGAGCTTTGACAATTTCAGGGATGGATGCTTCAGCTATCGATTGAGATGTACGCAAGCCAGCTTTGTACAACGCCCTAGCTCTTGAACCCTTTTTATTCAACACCAAAAACCATATTTATCAACCACACTTCATATCCTAGCTACAAGTTCCTGAAAGCTGAATATACCTTTATATATGGAATGCTAGTAAGTTCGACAATCTCAGCTCTGACACCAAATGAAACACGGTTCTGGAACTTGGCAACTAAGCCTTCCAAATCATGCCATCCAAGCCTCTCACAGAACACTGAAACCATGGAAGAAAACCTTCCAGCATTCTCCTGTAGCGCTTGAACCATACCTCTAGCCACTTTAAAGGCTTCACAGACCTCAGTCACAGAAGCTTCCTGCATTCCATAGTTCAAATACAAAAACAAACAAGTTAGCTATTAGAAGTCAGTCATCACCGTGCCTTCTGATGCAAAGGCAAGCGTCGTCATCATTTTTAAAATAGGAAATTTGATACAAACAAATTTATGCAAGGGTCAAAACAAGTAGGGACACGTAAGTTAAATAAGCAGTTTAACAAAATATCATGAAGCGTAGGTGATCATGCAAGCTGCAAGGGGGGAGGGTGACCTGAACTAATTTTGACAAAATAAGAGCAACAAAAAATCGCTTGCACACTCGAAGCATTTGTTCATCTGAAAGCGTCTTCATGCTTGTTGAACCATGCCGATTGTCAAATTCTCCACGCAAATTTTTATTTACATCATGTGGTCTGTTTCTAGTGCGAACTGTTGCACCATGTGCCATGCGCATCAGGAAAGGTTCGACCACTCCAACTCTATTGCCAACAGACTGAAATTGAGAGATAAAAAGTAACAGCATCAGCGTCTAAAGATTTTCTGAAAAAAAACTACATTCCCAAATAACAAAACCTAACTCCTATAGTTCTATTCAGAAAGCTGCAAAACACTTGAAGGGTGCAATTCAGCTTTCCACAACGGAAGTGAAGGAGAAAGAGAATGCAAAACTATTTTGTAAAACACTAAAAGCTTAATAAGAAGAATAAACTTAAAACTAGAATAACAGTTAATTTAGAGGAAGAAGATAGCTAACAACATGCTTCCTGAATATCAACATATAATTATGCCATACATTATCAGAGTACAACATTACCTGCTCTAAAGGAGACAGTTCCATGAACCGTTCATAATACAATTCCCAGTTTGGTTCAACACCAACATTGATTGGTGTGACTAAGTAGACCAAATGCAAATCAGATGCCATAACTAGTCCTTCACGTGCTCGTAAAAGATCATCCAGAACTATCTGCAGCAACACCAATTACATGAACGTCAAGCATGCTTACATAACACTATAAATGAAATTTCAGTTATAGAGAGTCAGATTTGACTACAAGTGACTCCTCGGGGCAGAGTGAACTGCCAAAAGATCCACGTCCAAGGGGTGTTGTAGTGTATAACTTTGTCTCTTCATTCCACTCAAGAAATTTCCTGTGGCACAGCCACCGAAGCGAATCCTGAGCTGATTTGACCACATCTTGAAAAGGCTTTGTAGAATTGAGAAGTGTACACCTAACATAGCGATGAATATCTTTGGCACTCTGAACAATTCCACCTGCCACAACTTCTAGAATTGCATGAGTCATTCCATTTTTATCCTCAGATAAACAAGACTGCAGTGGTGGGCAGGTTTCATTAAGAAGAGCCATTATTCGCTTGACTTCTCTAGGTTTGCAAATCAACACCTGGAAAAAAAAAAAAAAAAAAAAAAAAAAAAAAAAACTCAGAACAAGAACCAAAAGCCTAGGATATCGACCAATCCAACCAAGAAAAAATGTATGTGAACAATGTGTCTACAGAAATTGCACAATGCAGTCTTAACCAGACAGAAATTTTAATAGGAAGCTTCCAGAGTCACAGAATTAGACTTACACTTTCTCCTTTTGTATCAATCCCAGTCCGCCCAGCTCTCCCAGACATTTGCTTGTACCTTGTTCCGTCAATAAAATCACGGCCAATCATTGGTTGTCGAAAAATTACCCTCCTTGCAGGCAGATTAACCCCAGCCGCCAAAGTGGATGTAGCTGTTAAGACACGTACGAGACCCTTACGGTAACAGGTCTCAACTATCTCTCTTTCTTCTACCTGCAATATAAATAGAGTTAGTTGGCCAGTGTGCTAATGAAAGAGATATTCACTATGCGTAAAATTCACTGTTACCCATGTAAATAGGAAAAGAATCACAATCCTAGTATATAATCTGGCCAGGTCAAGAAAAAATCTATGATGAATGTGTAAACGTACTGTAAGACCAGCATGATGATAGGCAACCCCAAAGGGAAGAGTTTCTTCCAATACAGGATCTACTCCAGACGGAGACCTTTGCAGGGCATCAATAGCAGATCTGATATCCATAAACTCACTATTTTCACCATCAACGTCTATGGGAAACTTTTTAATGAACTTTGAAATATGCCTAGCAGTTGATTCGCATCCTTTTCGACTCGAACAAAATATCAGCACTGAATTGCCTTCTTGAACAACCTGGATCGTGATATTATATGTGAACAAGATATGAAAAAATGCAAGTACTAAATTAGGAATTTATACAACAAGACATAAGAAGACACGTAATGCCCATTACCTCGTTACAAAGCTCAACTACATGGTCCGGGTCTTTTCCTCCCATATCAGCAGCTTTTGGTATAGTCCTCACAATTTCCATCTTTTTATTGTAAATAGTGCTACCAACTTTAATATACTCCTCTAGCGGAACTGGTCGGAACTCTGTTTGATATAAAGCTGCCTTTCAACATGTAAAACACAAATTAAATTTTATGGTTAAAAAGCCACAATAACTTCAGAAAAAGTTTCAATAGATGAAAAAAAAAATATTGAAAAACTATCGTCATCCATTTAAGAGATCTGGAGATAAACAGGTCTTCACTTTGCAGGAAACATAAAATTTATTAACAATGACGAACAGTATTTCTGTGCAATTTGATAAATACCATATATATTCTTGTAATTCCCACAGACATGCAGGTCCGTACATCAATTAACAAATACTTAAAGCCAGAAATTGTGATTTTTTCTTACTTGAAGCCAGTCAGCAACTGCTCCAACATTCGGCATTGTAGCACTCATACCCACAATTTGTAGGCCATGAGCAGGATCAGCCTTGCCACTGCTATTCCCTGAACTCTCACCACTACTTGATTCTGAACTGCCTTCACCAGCAGCATAACGAAGTTTCGTCAACATAAGTTCCAAAAGATAACCCCTATGTTGGTCACCCACCTATATAAATCATGAGTAGAAGATTCCTTTAAATGCATTCATTATCAACTATACGAAGATAGAGCACACAAAAAAAAAGGGATAAAAATTAAAGATGGTCTCAGACAGTTATATGCTTATATGAGATCCAGGCATATGAGATATGCGAAAACCATACCATATGTAGCTCATCTATAACTATTATCCCAAGTTCTGACAAACGACCCTCTTCAAGCAAGCGATTTATCAAAGAGTTGGCCTTCTCAATCGTGCAGACAGCCACAGAAGTGTCTTTAGGAAGTGTTCCACCACCCTGATTTCCATAGTAACTACGAACATGCTTACCAAGTGGTTCAAGAAGGGCCTCAAGGTGTTCTGCCTGCACCCAATTGCAAATACGCCTAAACTTACAAAAAGCAATATTATAAAACGTGTAGGATACTTGGAGAAACAAAAGAAACCTTCTCAGCGCAAATGGATACATAAGGTAGCACAAGCAATGCCATTTTTCCAGTTGTTATGACCCGACGTAGCATCAAGACTTCCGCAACAAAACTTTTACCAGCACTGCGCAAACAGCATGGTTTTGAAATTGATCATAAATTCTTGAAAGATAGAAGCCTTCTAGTGAGATTAATAATACTGCTATCATGATCTGAAGAAAATGTATGAAAAGAAGAAACTTTGAATTGGCAGATTCATAGTCAACCATGAAGATACCTTGTAGAAGCACAATATACCAGATTCCTTTTCTGCAAAACACCATCAACCTGAAGACACTCGACCTAGAAAATTAACAATTTGTATTCAGCTAATGAAAAGGACGTCAGAAGCAATAGCATGCATACAAACAGGAATACAAGAAAGAATAGAAAAACTTTCTCTTAATCACTCAGTAATCAACAACAAACTATTTAGGAAGCACAAATACCAACATATATAGCATGTACAACCACTGCAAGATATGATAAATGTCATGAAAGGAATAAAGCATGAAAAGAAAATTAATTCTGGATGACGAATACTAGCTGCAGGCTCTCAGCTGAGATTACACTATTTAACTGTAATAAGTTAGCAAATACACATCAATTTATCACGGAGTAGGAACATCAGAAATAATGATCAGCTGTATCTAAATATAATCAACAAAAAACAACCCACACATCAACCAACAGTTATGTACCTGCCAAGGATAGAGTTTAAATATTCCTTTCTTGTTGTATACACTGCAAACTTCTGAGGGAAGCCAAGTGCTAAGATTTAAACCATCTTTGTTACGATGAGAGCTTGAAGGAGTATGACTTTCTTCAGATTCACTAGAATCAACTGATTTCCTAATGTTGCCTATCATAGAACCAGATCTTTCATGATGATTTTCCTCGCACAATATATCTTTATTTTCTTCGGGTTCTGGATACACCCTGCCTATCAAGATATTATTTGCCTCAACATTATTTGCAATATCAAGAGTTTCACATCCTTTATCATCAACAAAAACAGATTCCGAGATCCTGCTGATTCCTAGAGTACTATTATTTTGATCAAATGAAGTAAATCGCTCTCGGTTACCTCCATTTGTTTTCTTATCTTGAAACAAAAGTTCAAGGTTCTTGACAGGAAGCGGCGACACTTCTTTCTTAAAATCTCTCCCATGCTTCTCTACAACCTTTGAAAAACCAATGGCTTCTTTATCCTTTACCCTGCTTTCATCTATATCTAAACTCCTCTTTAACTTTTCACTGCAATGATCTGTTTTGTTGCTGCATGAAAGAATAGTTCCATATTCACCTCCATCTTTAACTTCTACGGAACGAGAGTTCTCAATTGGAATTGCCAAACCGTCAGCAACTTGAATTGCTTCATTCCAGAAAGCATCTCCAGGTGAGAACATTGAGCTGCCACTTCCTGACTTTGGGGTTCCAACAGGACATGATTTAATGGCTAATCCAGGAGTGTGGCATTCATTTAGATGAGTAGACGATTCTGGTGCCTTGGTACACTTTCTCAAGCCCATTGGAATTTCAACAAGTTCATTGCTCGGAATCTGTGAATATACACATAAAATAATATTAGATGGAACACTATAGCAGGAGGACAGGTAACAATTACATCTGATTTCACTTTTACCTTCTTTGTAGAGTCTGAAAAAGATTTATCTCTTTTATCAGCAACACTAGCGAGTGATTCAGGCTTACTCCCCAGAGGATATGCAAGTTCATCTAGAGCTGGTATAATTTGGGAATCACAGCGCCTCTTGTGAGAAATTTTAGTATCTTGGGCAAGTGATGATGAGCTGCTTTGACGCTTCAGTTCACATGCCTTCTGATGTGGAGGTGAACCAATAATAGACTGCATTCCACTGCAAAAGAAAAAAGAGCTATTGACTAGTCAGACAAATAAAAGAATGGATGTTTCACCAACGAACTCCTTCATGATAATGGAAAGATTACAAATTCGGCACAGTCACATTACCTACAATACAAGGACAAGAAACCAGTGGTAAAGTCTCTTAGGTCTGAATTATCTTTCTGGCTAGAACAGAGCAAACCATCTGTTGCATGAGTTTCAGTTATAGCAACACCTTCTTTATGAAAAATTTGAGATCCATTCTGGTTCAAACACCCTTCAACTCCATTAGAAGTTGCGGCCCTTACAGGTTTAGGCACGCGGAGGGATATATTTTCATGAACAGACGAAGCAGAAACCTCCAAATCCAATTTTCTTGTAAACGCTTCTTGCCTTGCCTGCAACCCACTATTGGTAGTGCTTTTGTCGTCCAGAGAGGCTTTCAAGTAATTGTCCAAAGTGCCTTTGTCTCCAGGAGACCTTTCTCCTGTCACCTTCACATTTTTCTCATTTCTCCCAGACTTCAAATTTGGTGAAGAATGTTTCCTCTTCTTCGAAACATAAAACTAGTAGAACAGTGACAAGCAACATAAGAAAAAATGGTCAGCACAAACATACTTTAGCTTCAATATCAGAAAAAAAAACTCCTTCTTTTGGCCCACATCACTTCCATCATAACTAACTCACTGTTCATAATTTGACTTCAGAAAAATCTTCAAAAAACAATTCTTTTTTAACCTAATTCATGGAAAATCCATATCAAATTTGAAACTTTGTTCATGAAAAAAAAAATATCGTCTTTCTTTATAAATGATAGTTTTCTACTGTCTTAGTGGAAAACTAAAATTACGAGATTCCAGCAAAAGGCGGTTACGGTCTACTCAAACAATCCAATGAATGGAAGACTCTACAAAATTCATCGATTTGCATTGATATAGGTCAGATTTCAGAGTCAAGTTCAACAAGTGAGAAACTTCAACACGTTGCAGCAATAGAGAATTTACGCACAAAGAGGAAGAAGAGCTTCAAACATCGACACTCGTCAACAGTGCGTGGAGACATATTTATCAAAGAAACAGAGAGAAAGAGAGAGAAGCGGACCTGATCAATCCGCGATTTAGAGGAATCCGAGTCCATAGGCGGAGGAAGAAGAACAACCGCCGGAGATCTGAAAAAGAAAACCCTAGTCGGCGGTTTCAGCGCCGGAGGAAGTGAGGTGCGCCCAAATTGGAAGCAGATGTAGAGTATCAAAAATCTGTAGCGTTTGAATTTTGATTTCCCTTGTATACGGAGCTCTCTCTATCTGTGTATTATTATTATATTTTTCCTTAAAAAAATCCATTTTTATTTGTTATTCACGCTCGAATTTTCAATTTGAACCATAAAGTTGTTTTTTTTGCTTTATGAATTTTTGGGTTGCCGTTGGGCGCGCTTTATGAATTATGCAAGTATTGACTTCAAAATCCCCTTTTATTATAGATCATCTAATGAAGAAGTGCCATTGCAAATTTGCAAAGAGAGAGCCAAAACCAGTTCTATTCTCTTACATAGCTTTCCAGGAGATACCAATATTTTGTTGAATCTCTTCTGTGCTATTGAATAAAACGTACTGTAAAACAAGAATCTGCTGTTAATTATTCTTCTGCTGGTTTTGCCGCGGCGTGTTTACACGCACATTGGTGCTTATGCTTCGGTTTCTCATCCTGATTCTTCAGATCGTTTCCAGCCACAAGGAAGAACGCAGTGTGCCTGAAACAGATCAATAGCAGCAAATCAGATACAATCTGCTTGCTCACATCTCTAGAATTATAAGGTTTAAAGTGAATAAAACACCCAATCAAACTTTCATCTAACTATACAGACTTCTGACTCTGACAAGTGAGAAGAAGATTGGTGTTACCTGAAGAACTTCATCATTTTGATTTTTGAGTCCTGGTCAATGTCAGGCGAATCGTCCAGAGCGTTTTGCATGTGTTGTAGCCATCTCTCTGCAGCTTGATGGGTCACTGGAAATGGACGGTGACGTCCGATCAAAGCAGGATGACCTACACATTGGCAAGATAAACAAACAGCCAAAAAGTAAGCAATGAGTTTGGGAGATGCCAAGTCATATTTAGTCAAAACCAACTCACATAGGCGCAAGCGCAAATGTGTATCCTAATGTCCACTGTGACACATTCATACATATACAAGTGCGTCTATGTACTAAGTGAGCATCAAAAGGGCTAAAAACCAAATGAGTTAGTTAATGTGCGGTTTCTTAGTCAAAGCATATACAACCTAGAGAACCAATCACAGAGAACAACATATGAATGCAATCAGCCATTTCGGTTAAAACGCAAAGCTAGGGGAGACGAATCAAAAGGTAAGAAAAAGCCAAACCTTTCCTTTGAGAGTACAAAGGAGGGCCTCCCATACGCTGGACGAAGAACTCATACTGGTTCTGGATGGCATCATCTTTGTTTGAGTCAGAAAATATTGATCGAAACCATTCTTCTTCGTCATCGTATACCCTACTCTCCATTTCAAGACCAAGAATCAACAACAACAACAACAACAAAAAACCTTTAAGAACATAGGTCTATAAATAGAACTTGAACTGTCGAAAATCTTGAAAGTTTTTTAAGTGAAGAAGGTATAAGACTGGTCAAAACAGCCAAAATCCTAAAAAGAAAAAATTCCCAATATTTCATATCATTTGAACAAGCAGAGAGTGGACTTGATACTTGAAAGTAGAGAGAATACTAAAAAGTCACACTTTAAAACACAGTCTCCTAAGCTAAACCAGGTTTAAACGAAGAATATGAAGAGAAATAACCAAGAGGAAACATATAGAATAGAGAAGTTAGAAAAGGGAATTGAAAGAACCTGGTGTAGAAATTGGTGGAGAGATTGATGAAGGTTTGAAGACCGAGCTTTTCGAACAGATTGGATTCGTCGATGGCGAAAGCCTCAGCCTGATCGACGCCGCTCAACACCGATGCCTTCTCCTGCAGCGATTGCATCTCTCTCTCTCTCTATCTCTGGTTTCTGATGACTCTTTAGGTTCGTAGTGGTGTGAGAAACTGTGGGCGATGCGATTGAATTTTAAAAAGGATTGGGGTTCTCTCTCTCTCTCTCTCTCGGTGGTCGCGTGGAGGCAACGCTCTCTTGTTTTTATTTAAATACTTACTTTTTGCAGATGCCACATGACCAAAACTAGTTGTGTACTTGTCTTTTGTCTTTTGATTCTCTTGGTCCAATCAAATTTGTAGAATTAATTCCTCTTGTTATCGATAGTTTGGTTGGTCAACATTTGTTTTATTTTGGTTCCCATTCTGAAATTTTAAAAATGGTTTTTGAGCTTAAGAAATTTTAATTAACCCTACTGTTCATATACTGACCCTAAACACCTATATTTTTTCTGATGTACATTTAATTTAAATTGTATTTGTTTTATGGCAGTTTTTTGGAGAAGTATATTACAAATTTCAATAGGACAATTGGAGGCAATTGACATAAACAGGCCCGTTATAAAGCCCATTAGGCCATTACTCCAATTATTGATGACGATTTGCGTTTGATGAAAAAAAAAAGTGATTTAAAATCCGCGTTTAAAAAAAAGACCGAGCCGAGCTGAGCTGACCACGAAGGATATCACGGCGTCGTCGCTCTGGAATCGAGGATTTGTTTGTTTGGTTCCTTTCTTCGCTCGAAAGATTCAGGTGAGCCAATGGCGACGAACAGCAGAGAAGCAAGGAGGCGGAAGATCTTAGAAAGAGGATCTGATCGTTTAGCCTTTATCACTGGTCAAATCAACGGCGTTCCTCCTCCTTCCGATTCTTCTTCTTCTTCCCTTTCCCACTCTCTTCTCCAATCCTTACCGGACTCGATTCCCCCGCCTGATCACATACTTAATTCTCAAGAAATCGGTGCTCTCTCTCTCTCTCTCTCTCTAGGGCATTATTATTATAATTGCTCGTATCGAAGCTCGATTTCGTTGTTGTTTATGAGTGTATTTGCGTTGCATCTTTCTTTTCTCGTTTGTTATTTCGCATTGGGTGATGAGTAGATAAGCCATGCCTTTATTTTGAGCTAGGTGCTGCAAGTTTGTGTCAATTGAATTTCGCTTACTGTAATGTGTAGAAGCATAGGGAGTTATCAAGTAGGCTTCTTTAATCAAATTTTATGTGTTTTGCCTAGTTACAGATTGGAATTTCATGTATGAAATGTTTAAGAACCCGGCTTGAGCCATAAGGTGTTTGAAATAAGGCAGATCTATAGAGAAGAATAAGACGTACAGTACCCACATTTATGTATATTAGTGTATTGTGTCCTCTGATTGAAGTAGTTAATGGCCAGTGAAGCTGCTTAATCCAGATTTTCAGGGGGAACCTACTTGACTTTAGCAGAAATTAGATTTTAACATAGGCACTAGTATTTATTCTGAATCTTATTTTACTGTTCTCTACTTGTGCTTAAGTCACTGCGCTCCTTGAAATTTATTAGCCATTCTGTGGAATTCTTTCTAGGGGCGATTCAATTATCTTGTGTTTGGAAAGCTCAATTATCTTGTGTTTTTTTTATATTTCTTGCCTTGTATTTACCACAAAATTTAGAACGGAGAAATATTCCTAGAATGCTTGATCGGGGCAAATCATTCTCAAGGGGTTGTAAATATACACAGTCAGAGAACCCACTGATTGTGAAACATATTTCTGATGTTTCGTGAGGCTTACCTTTACACTGCCCTACTTATAGAGGTTACCAATTTATCTGCTATATACACTTATTTAAGTATGTGTTTTTTGCTTGCTTAACGTGTTATACTCTGAACAAGGATATTGATGGATGTCTGTCATTAGTTTCATGGATAAGCATGGCAAAATGTTAGCATCATTTATATGTTGTTGATTCCAATCTCTTATGAGCATAGTAAGAGAAAGTCAGAGGGTAACTTACTTATTTTGATGATAATTGCAGCTTTCACTAGCCAACAGGGAAACATCCCCAATGCTGTGGTGGTTGATAATGCAGATCATATCATCCATCAAAACAGAGCAGAATCGCTTCAGCCTCAGAGGTATGCTGAAACATTGGCAGAAGCCTCTGCTTCAGATCCTAGGGACACAACAATACTACCAACTCCTACAACAACAAGTGCTCAAAACCCGTCAGTGGTAGATTTAGGTGCTTCTCAAGCATTTATTCCTCTGGCTAGTTATGTGAACACCATCAAACCAAAGCACATTGGGGCGGCCATTGATGCTACAGAATGCGTACGGATGTTCTCAGCTCTTGCGATTGCACTAGTTTGTATACTATCTCATCTTGGGTTCTCTTCCCTAGTCAACATAGTAAGCTTCAGGCCTGTTTTCTTGCTCATCTTAACTGATGCGACAATTGTGCTTGGACGCGTTCTGCTGAGTCATAGTGGAGATGCGTCCTCAGCCTCGGGGACAGTAATGAACGGGCAGGGTATAGTAGACCAAGTGAGCAATGCTTTGGAGACGGTGATGATGGTAAAGAAGATCATGGAAGCACTTCTAATGGATTTTAGCTTGTACGCTGTGATTCTCATATGTGGCCTCTTGGTCACGCAAACCATATTTCCATAGGTAATTTTCAAGTAGGTTTGTTAGTTCCAAAACATAGTTACATGTCTAAGATATCTTTCTTTTCTTTTGTTGTTGCGTTTTCTGGATGCTAATTTCACTTGTGCTACAAGATCAATACTATTGTTCAGTACTTTGGAAAAAGGAAATTTTGGGGTTCAGTGTATCGCTGGATTTTGGGTGTACTTGTTCTTGGATTTTTTTTTTTTTTTTTTTTTTTGTACTTCTCTCTGCTGTATTTTGGTTTTATAGAGAAAAAGAAAAAAATGCTCGCTCATTTCCTTACCATTATCATCTCAGATTTAATACTTCACACTGTATTAGTAGTATTAGTGTAATAATAAAGACGGTATTTATTTACTTTCTTTCGTATAATTCGTATTTATCATCGAACAGATTCAGTTTTTGACCCTATAAAAATATAGAAAATTGGCCAATGAGATAGCGCCTAATTATATATATATATATATATATATATATATTTTTTTTACCCTTTCACTTTTTATTTGGGAAATCCAGCTCACTACTTCTGCCTTGAATTTAAAGCTCATTCGTATTTGGTAACTTGTTTCAACAACCCACTTAAAAATCAAAAACCTCTCTAGTTACTAAAACTATTATTTAGATCAGGTCTAGCTTTTGATCTCTGAAAGGGAAAGAAAACCTTAGAAAACTTAAGTGGAAAACTATAAAGGAAAGAAGAAAAGAAAAAATGGAACAAGTAGTAGTAGTAGATTCCTCCTGCTGTGAGATCGATCATAACTCATAAATGACCAGAGGAAATGGAAGAAGAAGAAAATCCCAAGCTGTAAAGATCATAAATTAATTACCGAGGAAGCAACGTAGTGAAGTCAATCTGTAGCTGTCGAAAACAGAGAACCATACGTCATACTCGACGAATCATAAACGTTTCGTTCATTTTTCCTTTTTTATTCTTTTTCATATATAATACGTAATATCCTTTTCTCTTTGGGAGCCATTTTTCTTCTTTTACCGCTAAAGTGAAGTGCAGAAAGAGATACAGAGAGATAGAGAGATACAAAACATACAATCCAAAGGTTTCTTGTTCCCGGAAATGGAGGTCTCTCCGTCGGAAGACAAACTCGTTGGCTCCGTCGACGGCGAAGCTGTTCCTACACAAGTATCCGACATAAAAAACGAAGCTTTAGACATTTGTCGGATTTTCCAATCACCGGAGGAACCAGACAATCCGTTGAGACATCCGTGCGCGTGTCGAGGCTCTCTCAAGTTCATCCACTCAGATTGTCTTTTTCTCTGGCTCAATCGCCGTAAATGCAACCATTGCGAGGTCTTTATATCCTTTTTTCATAAACTCTGTTTCTGCAACGAATTTGGTTTAAAGTTTACTGCTTTTTTTTTTATGTGATTTGAGGAATAAATCTTCTAAAAAGTCTCTCTTTCTCTTTTTCTTTCTCTACTGCAGATTTGTAAGCGACGCTACTCAATTGTTCCTGTTTATTCCGAGAACGCTCCAGAGAGACTATCATACCACGAATTCTTAATGGGATTGCTACTGCGAGCACTACGTTTCATGGCTTGGATTCTTCCTTGGATCTTGATGATTCCTTTCAACGCGTATTGCTTTTCTCTTCTTCCTTGTGACAAGGAGGACTTTGTGAACCACACTGTTTTTGAACTGTCCTTGAAATTTCCTGGCCTGTTTTACACTGCTGAGATAGTCTTTAGTACCACCTTTATGGTTGTTCTTGTGGAAATCATGAAAGAGCTTTTAAGGATACACCCCGAGTTTTTACGTCTTATGATCATCTTAGATAATGCTCTAAATGATAGAGACGTTACTGGCATTTTGCTGTTGTTAGCAAATCATTTTCATATCCTGTGCGACTGGTGGCATGATCAGCTCTTACACTTGCCATTTCTCCATATCTTTTAGAGGGGACCTCTTCCACTAGTGTTTGTTCCTAGAAACACGCCGCTTCATCACTTTGGAGCCATCAGAAGCTTTTTTTTCCTTTTGAATGACAACACTTTTGCTGTGAGTCTTTTGCTCTCTATAGTCAATTACTCTTACATAAAAGAAAAAAATCATGCTATTCCGGATTAACGTTGATTAATGTTTCACGAGTAACAGATTCTTCTTCTTTCTCTTGTCTCTACAGGTTCTTGCCATCAACATATATTGGTCTTTTTTCAACGTTCTTTTACCATTTTCGATTGGCCGAGGTGTCTTGTTTCTTCTACGCTGTTTCCCACATGGTTGGATTGCGGAATATCCATCTGAAGTGGCTGCGGGTGAAATGGTTATATCATCAGTTTGCTTGGCTTACCTTGGAAGTGTCTTTCCTCTGCTTCCAAACACATATCTAACAAGAGGCAGATGGTTTTTACCGTCAGTTAAAGATACATTCATCTTGTGTTTTAAACTCGGTGTTCTGCCTTGGATGCTTGGTTTCTGGCTAGATTTCTGCACTTCCCCTATATTGGGAATTACAATTTCCCAAAGCATTGATGTTCTTTCAGACTATCCAGCCCTGGCTACCAAACATTGGCGTGTGGGAATGTTGTATAGGTTCTGAATGTTTCTTAATATTAACAAATGACCAATTACAAGAATATATAGTACAGAGGAGACATAGGGTAAAAAGTATTTACAAGATAATCCCTATATTCTATTTACTTAACCATATCCTTCTATACGCCCCCTCAAGATGGAGGGAGCTGGATTACTCCAATCTTGGAACATGCTTGCTGAAACTGCCCTCTCGGAAGTGGTTTGGTAAGTGTATCAGCCAACTGGTCGTGTGTAGATACATGAGAAACCCGTAACATGTTGGACTGAATCTGATTCCTAACAAAATGATAGTCAAGAGCAATATGCTTCATACGTGAGTGGAAGACAGGATTCGCACAAAGATACGTAGCGCCAACGTTATCACAATATATCACTGGAGTAGAAGGTAGGTTCAAGCGTAGTTCAGTGTATAAAGAACATAACCATCTCACCTCCGCAGCCGTATTCGCAACAGCCCGATATTCAGCCTCAGTGGAGGAGCGAGCCACACCTTTTTGCTTATTTGATGACCAAGAAATAGGATTGCGTCCAATATATATGACATAACCATTTGTGGAGACATAATCATCTGTATCACCAGCCCAGTCTGCATCCGAGTATCCTTGAAGTTTATAAGGTGACGTAGAGAAGCAATGTAGT